CTCTCTCTCAAGAGGAAGGAAGGAAGGAAGGGAGAGAGGGAGGGTAGGAGGGAGGGAGGGAAGTTAGATTAGAAGAGCATCCACTACGTTAGTCACCTTTTTTCCACTTTCACTTCCTTCAGTCCTTTCCCCACAAAGCAGATGATATGGTCTTTCTAAACTCTTGACCTATCAGATGGCTTCCCTACTTAAAACTTTTCGATTGGCTTTTTGGCTCTTCTCAAAATAAGATGCAGACTTTTACTGTGGGCTACAAGGCCTGGATGGTTTAGTTCCTGTAGACCTCTCCAAATTCACCTCATACCACCTGCTGATTCCTCTATGTACAGTGCTTTCCCCCAAGCCCCTTGAATGTCTGCTAATTCTCCTTCTTCGTGATTCAAATCAAAAGGCATTTTCTCAGAACATTCTTTCCTGAGCACTCAATTTAAAGCCTAGCTGGCTCAGTTGGTAGAGCATGTGACTCTGGATCTTGGGGTTGTGAGTTTGAGCACCATGTTGGGTGTAGAGATTATTTAAAAATAAAATCTTTTAAAAAAATAAAGTCTCCACACCAATTCCCTCTATAACATCACCCTGCTTCTTTCATTGTGCTTATTATAATCCAAAATTACTTATATGCCCATTTATTTGTCACTGGTCCTCACTGAGCATGTAAGCTCTATTTTATTCACCACTCTATCCTCAGAGGCTAGCCAGTGCATGACACATGTAGGCCCAATACAAATATTTGTTCCATAAATGGATAGCCAACCTCATATGCTCAAGGACAAATCTGGAATTCCTTCTTTGCAATGTTGAAAGGTATTGCTCCTTTCTTCCAGCAGGTGGAGCCAAAGCCACACCTGTTCTGTAGCAGGAGTTGGGGTGGAGTGTGTGATTGGCATGGCTGAGGACTGCAGGACAGAGTCAAGAGGGAGGCAGAGTTTTTTGTAGTAATGTTGGATCCAAGCATAGAGGAAGTCAAGATGGCACTTCTCCCAAAGGATGGGTAGGTATGAGCTGTCTAGAAGGCACATGGAGTCACCGGTGACCAAATGAGTTTCTGGGATCCCAGGTTGTTTTTCTACCTACCCCCCGCCCCACCACCATATCATCCCCCACGAAATCAGCAGGGGATCTTCGAGGAGAACAATTTTCTGTGAGCATAAAACTGAAGAGAAGGTTTTCCATTCCAAATCCCCATTGTACAGTTGGGGGAAACTGAGGACAAGAGAGAAGCATCATGTTGGGTCAGTGCCTGTTGGGTGTAGCTCACAAAACCTTCTTGTTATAGCTCATGTTTAAAAACTCAGCCCCAACCCACCCCACCATGCCTGGCCCTGGGCTCAATATGGGAAGCTACAGTAGAGGGGGCATGGACTCTCGAGAGCTGCCCCAAAGAACAGGGGAGAAAGAATGGCTTTAGAGAGGCATTCTGGAACCAAGGCATATTGGATCAGTGTCTGCCAGATGGACCAGGGGCCAGAGGTACATTCCAGGGCTGGGCAGGTGGACTGTGGGGCTGGGGAGATCAGCAGGGGTCTCAGACTTCCTCCTGAAGACAATGGGGACTCATAGAAGGGCTTCTAAATACTTTGGTTATCTTGGAGAATTTGCAGAAGGAATGTGAGGAGATCAAATCAAAGACAGAGACCAGGGCGCCTGGGTGGCTCAGTTGGTTAAGTGACTGCCTTTGGCTCAGGTCATGATCCTGGAGTCCCGGGATCGAGTCCCAGGATCAAGTACTGCATCAGGGCTCCCTCTGACCCTCTTCCTCTCATGCTCTCTCTCTCATTCTCTCTCAAATAAACAAATAAAATCTTTAGAAAAAGAGAGAGAGAGAGAGAGAGACCAGCGAGGATGCTGGTATAATCATCTAGGTGAGAGACCTGGTAAGTAATTGCAGGGATGGGCAAGAAGCAAGCTTGAGTGGTTTAGGAAATTTAAAATAACTTTTATTTTTTAAAGACAGGTTTTGGTGTTTATTGGAGTAGAGGGAGGGGGAGTTAGGAGTGGGTCTCTGCAAACATTATCTGAGTTCTTGAGCATTCTGGCTACGAAAGCCAGTCCAGAGCCCAGGGCTCCTGCCTTGCCCAGGCAGCCTGACCCTGAGATGGCAGCTCTAAAGGGAGTGGGACCTGGCTTGGTGGTGACAAGACTATCGGTTCACATATTAGCCTAAAGTAGTGGGTAAGAGCACTGGTCCTGTAGCCAGACAGCCCGGGTTCAAACATCAGCTCCTCCACTTACTGTCTGATGATCTTGGACAAGTTACTTTTCTGTGCCTCAGTTTCCTTATCTGTAAAATGGGGGTAATAATGTACTTACCTCATAGGGGAATTATGCATATAACCATGCCGGTTAGTTAACACTTGATCAATTTATGAAAGTGCCTTGGCAGAACTTCAGGGCAAAAATGGAGCCTTCCCCAGCCACCCTGAAAATGGAGCCCTAGACCCAAAGTAACAACCAAGCCTGAAGGGTCTATGCACTTCTCTTCTCTGGGCTTCATTTATCCATGCATAGAATAGAGAAGTTGGACCCGTAGCCCTGATCCTACCAGCTTTGCTTTCCCAATATCTGGAGCTTGGCCTAAGTGTGTGAGACCCAGTGATGCACTGGGGCAAGCTCCTACCAGTTTGTGAGAGCCAACTGTTCAATTTTCGGGAAACTGGCCTTAGAACAACCATTGGTAACTTGAAATTGGCTATAGAAGAAGCAATTACGCCATGCAAATGGACAAGTGCTATAAACTAGGGCTTCCCCCAGCAACCTCCTCCCCGCCAACAGTGGTTTTTCACCAGCACACCAGTGCTGAGACCCCTCCTCAACTCACACACAAAGCCACCCAGCCAGGTACCTTCTCACCTTCCAACACCATCATTAACAGCTATGGGGAAAGAATCGCAGGTCCCTAGGACCTCACACAGCCCCAGTCACACAGCGTGTGTGCCAGGGGCGCATGCTCAAGCATGCCTGGGGCAGTACGCACAGCATGCATGCCTGGGCAGAGCAGCCGGCTGTCTGACAGGCAGTGGGGTCACTCAGATACAGGGGAGCGAAGGATGGGATGGGATTCCAGTTAGGCAACTCTTGGCCACGTGACCCTCTCTATACTGGAGCTCAGTTTACTCATCTTTAAATTTTTTTTTTTTAAAGATTTTATTTATTTATTTGAGAGAGAGAGAGAGAATGAGAGAGAGAACATGAGAGGGGGCAGGGTCAGAGGGAGAAGCAGACTCCCTGCCGAGCAGGGAGCCCGATGTGGGGCTCGATCCTGGGACTCCAGGATCGTGACCTGAGCCGAAGGCAGTCGTTTAACCAACTGAGCCACCCAGGCACCCCGTAGTTTACTCATCTTTAAAGTGGAATAGTCCCGGGGCGCTCGGGTGACTCAGTCGGTTAAGCGCCCAGCTCTTGATCTCAGCTCAGGTCTTGATCTCAGGGTCGTGAGTTCAAGCCCCACGCTGGGCATGGAGCCTACTTTAAAAAAATAATAAAGACAAAAAAAAAAAAAAGAAAGTGGAATAGTCCCGATATAGCAAGACGGTTTCAAGGATTAAATTTGAGAACCAGCAAAGTGAAGGTAAAGCCTCCACACCATGCCTGGTACAGATAGGTGTTTAGTAAACGTTAGCTGATGCTGTTATCACACCTCCAGACACCCTCTTGCTCCCCAGGGCCCCTGCAGCTTCATGTCCCTGTCTTGGCACCGAAGGGCTCAGTGAGTGGCTGAGGGTAAAGACAGAAACAAGCACCTCTGGTTTCCAGCTTTTATGAAAATTAATAACATTAATAGCTCACAGACACATACATACACATACATTGCTATATACATGGTCATTAAGTTATTAATTAGTCTCTGTATAAAAAGTTTCTATATTAGTGTTCTAGGCTAGGCCCCATCAGTCCATGGCATATTCACAGTAGCAGCCCCGGGGCTTGGCCCCGTGGGCAGGCAGATGTGAGGCAGGAGGCTGCGTGAACAGCCCTCCCCACGGCAGGCACAGGAAGTGTCCTGGGCCACTTACTCTCGAGTCTTTGGCTCCCTTCAGGACACCTGGAGACCAGCTACTCAGCGAACAGGCAAGCAGGCCCTGATCTCTCCTGTGGTCTGGGACCCAGGTCCTGTGGATGGTGGCTTTGGGCAACACGGACGGCCCTAGAGGATGCTGGCCAGCTCCGTAGAGTCTGTGTCAGAACAGCCAGAGCTGCTGGCCTCCTCCCTGCAAGAGCCAGAGGACACAGGCTGGAGGAGGCGTCCTCACCCCTCCCCTTCCCCAGCTGCCTTGGTCCTCCGAGGACCTTGGCCCTACAGTCTTAGCCAGCCAGCTGTCAGGTGAGTCTAAACGACAGGAAGTAGACAGTTTGCTCACTCCTACTCTCAACGCAGAAACTGCCGGTAGCTCTGTTTGAAGTTCTTGCTGCCCACAGGGCACCAGAAGCCCTGGGACTACGCTTTGACCTGGGCTCGCTGATGAACTGGCATGATTCACTTCACCGTGCCCTCTGGTCTCCAGAAAGGCAGCCTCAGGCCCCACCTGAGGTCCTGCATGCCAAGAGAGCTGTGAAGAATGCAGGCTGTGGAGTGAAAACGCCAGGGCTCAAACCCCAGTTCTACTCCTTCTCAGAGGGCCCGATTACTCTTCCTGGTTAAGGCTCAGAGTGGGGATCGGGATCTCCCGACACCTAGGGGTGTCAAGGGACTGCAGGAGATCATGAATGCGCAGTCCCTGAAGTGTATAAATGCCGTGAGGGCAGGGATTCGGTCTGTTTCATTCACTAGAGCAATGCCTGGCACCTAGTGGGTTTCCAGTAAGTATCTGCTGAAAGAATAAATGCAAAACCACCCAGCACCCTGCCTGGCATGCAGCTAAGTATCAGAGCGAAGTCAGCTGCCCTTAGGGCGGAGGCTTCAAGGGAAGCTGTGCAGGAGGTAAGTCAGGCCTTGGCCACAAGGGGCAGGGGCTGAGGGTTTAGCTAGGATGATGCCCCCTCCTCTGCCTCCCCGCTCTCACCTCAGAGCCTGCAGGGCCTTCTTGTTCTGCCGCCGCTTCTCCTCATCGATGGGGTACAGCTTGAAGAGCAGCAGGCCTAGCAGGATAAGGGCTATGGGAGCTATAGTCACCAGCATCTTCAGGGTGAACTTGACACGTTCCGGCTGTGAGCAGCCACGGGTCTGGTACCCGGCAAAGCTGTGGGACCCAGGGAGCAGGAGGGTGGTGAGGGCGGGGCACCTGGGGCTTGGCCCTGCCCAGCGCTGCTCCAGGACCCCACCGCACTCACTCAAGACTGAGGGTGGAGATGCCCAGGGAGACTCCAGAGGCGAACTTGGTGAAGAAGACATAGAAGGAGAAGAAGATAGGCTCAGTTCCATGAGACTGGGGCTGCTTCAGGTGGAAGTCGTCGATGACATCCGGCAGCATGGACCTGCAGCAGGGTGGCGATCCTGAGGACTCACCCACCCAGCACTCCAGGGTCCCCACTAGCCCATATGGCACCTCTGTGGTGTCAGTAAGAAGAGGTGGCCCTCTGGGACTTTTGTATCCCCAGGGCACACAGCTCTGTGAAGCCATGGCAACTTCATAGTGGTGAGGAGGCCGGCCCCCTCCTCTGAGATGGAGCCCCATTCAACTTGGCGAATAGAACACAGACCAGATTTAAGCCCCCCATCTCGCACCTTGGTTAGGTCTTCTCGCACAGTTCACAACCTCTACAACTGTACAGGAGAGACCTGTCCCATCCCCAACCTGGACCCATAGAATGGTCTGCAGGAGAAGCCCCTGCAGAATTCCCTGCAAGGAGCTTCAGAGGTAGGGGGTAGGGGGCTGGCGGACAGAGCCAGGTGGGCCGGTACGCACTTACCAGGGTAGTAAGAAGGCCGCTGCCACACTGATGCCGGCTGCCACAGCTACCACGTAGGTGACAATCAGGTTACTCTCCATGAAGGCCACCAAGATGAGAAATGGCACTGCTGACTAGTGGAGGGGTGGGCACAGGAAGATGAGTCAGCCTGGGGACTTCGACCAGCAAACCCCAACTAAGCCCAGGCCCCACCCCTTCAGCCCCACTCACTGAGATCCCAATGTATACCGCCGTCTTCTTGCCAAATCGGGTTAGGAACCACTGCCAGACGGGAATGGTGAACGTGGCCGAGAGCTGGGGATGCACAGTCGGGAGTGAGGGAAGTGGGTTAGTCATAAACCCCTGCTGCCCTTCCCAGGACCTCAAAGATATTCCTAGCCTTGCCTGCGGGCAGCCAGATGATACCCTCTGGGCACTGAGGAAGCTGACAGGCCCCTTTGACGGCTCTCCAGGGTAGCTGAGTGCTAGTCCCAGTCTTATCTCCTACCTTCTCTGAGCCACAGCTGAGCACAAAGTGTCCAAGTTCCTGGCCTCCACGCCTTGGCCTCTGCTATGTTCTTTACTGGAATATCTTGCCCCAAATCTTTCACAGTCTTGCCTAAGCAATTGTGCGTCAGATCCACCCAGTGATTCTGAGTCTCCTCCCACATCCCTCCTAACCTTAGCCAGTCTGGGAAACATCCTCTGACTATCTAAAGAACCATCTCAAAGCCCAGGCTGCCTACCCACCCTCGGGGCCCCACACACACCATGATGGCCAGGAGCAGATTCTGGAATTCGTTTCGGAAGCCCAAGGTGTAGGTGCAAAACAAGGCGAAGTTCCCCTCCACCAGCTGGAGGATGGGCAGGGTAGGGGGAAGGAAATGCAAGGAAAGAAGTGATGTCAGAGCCCAGGCTTCCCCATGCTCCCAGGACCTCTGCTCACCCTGCCCCCATTCCACCTGTCCCTCAGGCTTCGTCACATCCCTGTCCTTGTTTTACCCCACCCCTCTTGCACCCGCCCTACTCTCAAGGCTGAGCACGTCAGGCCCCCCCCCCCACTCACCATAAAAGCCAGGGAGGTGAAGAGGAAGCCAGCAATAAGCTTGACGTATGGGCCATGGCTCATGACCAGCCGGAGGCCCCGAAAAAAGGACATCGGCTCAGCCTGCTGAGTCTCATAGGGTTCTGGGGGCCAGAGAAGACAGTGAGGAAGGAGCAGAGGCTGCTCCCAAAGCCTGAGTGAGGCCCAGGCAGAGGGACAAAGCCATGTGGTGCTGGGGCCTACAGTGCTCCCCGGGGACCCCTCACCTCTCTGCTCCCGCACGCCCAGGGTCAGGATGACAGCACAGACGACGTAGATGGAGGCAATGACTCCTGCTGCCAGCAGGTATGCATTTTGCTACAAAGGAGATAAAAGTGACAGTCAGTCTGATCTCATCCCAGCTCTCAGCAGCTCCACTCAATGGACCAGTCCCTTCTCTGGGGCCTCACTGTCTCCACCTGTGAAATGGGAGAATCATCCTGGGCCGGCTGCCACTTCCCACGGCTGGGCAAAGTCCAGAGGAACAGAATGTTAAGAAGCCAGGCTGTGGAGGGTGAGAGCCCATAGTTCGCATCTCCCCAAATCTAGTTAAGTCACTAGTTCTGTGACCCTGGCCAAATTATTTAGCCTCTCTATGAGTCAGTTTCCTTATCTGAAAAGTGGGCATATTAACAGTTTGTAGATCAAATGCCCAACACTTAATAAACATGGACGATGCTGAGGATGACTGCAAACCACCCCATCGTGCCCCATCTCCCTAAATCTCTGCATAGCCAAGGGCCTCACCGTTTCTTTGAGTGAGGTGATGCTCTGTGTCCGATTGGCACCTTCTGTAGCCAGTGAAGAGTCCTTGGGGTCCTGGAGGCAAGGCGTATCCACTTGGCCCACGATTTGCCCCTGGATCGCTGTGCCCAGCACTGTGCCCAGTACCTCCACAGTCATCCCTGAACAGTAAAAAGGTCCTTTGGAGGGGCCTCATAGCTTGTCGGCCTCCAGGGAGGAAGGCCAGGTGGGTAGAGGCCCCAGGTGATGGCAGTTGTTCCAGGTGGGTAGATATCCAGTGGTGGGGCAGATGCACCTTGGCCTGCACTTACAGCCTTGCTCGCTGTGACCTCTGGCTAGCCCCTGCACCTCTCTGTTCTCACCAGAGCAATAAAGGGATCAAGTTATTTTTGAGATGGTTTTACATCCATTCCCAGCAAGGGAAGAAATGTGGCAGGAGGGTCAGGGAACAATCCCCATGATCCCTGGGGGATGGATCAGTGGGCTGGAGAGACACTTACGATATGCAGTGGCAGAATCCCGCTCACTCTGCTCTGTGCTGATGAACATCGTGAGAGCTGAGTAGGGAACGTGGAAACACTGGCATGGAAGAGAGGCCCTCGGCCAGTCAGACGATGGACAAGCAGATGTGGCTTCTGGCACCAACCCTACAGGCCCCGGGAACTGCCCTCATTCCTCCCCCCAGACACCAAGGGGAGGCACCCACACTCACCGTGACCAGTGTTTCAAACAGGCAATAGAAAAGCAGGTACCACAGGGCCTGGCCCTGTGGGAAGTCAGGCACGAACCAGATGAGGAAGTAAGCAATGATGGCCAGGGGTGTGGAGAAGATGATCCTGGGGAAGGGGGGAGGGTCTGAGTGGGGGCTGGATGTCAAAACCCCAAGTTCTGGGGTCAGCCTGGACTGCTCTGTAGTCCCACAGGGTGCCTGCCGGGAAGGAAATTCTTCTCCCTGAATCCACCCACCCCAGGGTCTCTGGGAGAGGCTGATGGCCAAGCCAGAAGCGCAGACTGCAACAGGGCCCCTGGACTGAAATCCTGAGCACGGAGCATGAGGTCAGATGTGGAGGATTGCCTAGTCTCCCCAGTGGAGAGGGCTCCAGAGGCAGGGGCTTCCTATGGGCTGGGGGAACTGCGAATGGCACTGAAACCTCGGGTGGTAGGGCAGGGAGGTGGGAAGAAGGTGCAACCCCAACATTGGTGTTCTTACATGTGCACACACATCCCTCGTGAGCACACATATACACACACTGTGGGCACACACACACGGGTTGGGAAGGCCAACTCCAGGCGAAGGACCAGGCCTAGTGAAATCACTCTAAGGGAGGGTAAATGTCTGCCTTCCCACTGGTGTATCCCACACCACTGCAAAAGTGGTTAGACCTCAGGACGGACTGACTTCATGTCATCAGTATAAAAAGGCAGCAGAGAGCAGGGGCTAAGAGGAAGGCCTTTGGAACCATTCTTCAGGAATCCAATTCTGGCTCTACCAATAACTATAAATAACTTGGACTTGAGCAAGTTATTTAACTTCTCAGAGGCTCATTTTCTCATCCATAAAAAGAAAATAGTAATAGCACCTAATTACATTCAACCTTCACTCAAGAAATATTCAAGTGCGAATATGGGCTAAGCAAAGCACTATTCTTATGACTTAGGATGGATCAGTGAATGAAAGAGACAAAAGTTATTGCCCGGTGGAACTTGTATTCTAGTTGGCAAATGAAAAATAAACATAATGTAAAAGTTATATACGTATTATTCAGGCTTAAAAGGGAATGAAAGTCTGACACATGCTACAACACAAATGAACCTTGAAGACATTATGCTAAGTGAAATAAGTCCGTCACAAAAGGACAAGTATTGCACGATCCCGCCTACAAGAGACCTACAGTAGTCAAATTCAGAGATAAAAAGTAGAATGGTGGTTACCAGGCGCTGTGGGGAGGGAGGTACAGGGAGTTATTTTTTCTGGGTACAGAGTTTCAGTTTGGGAAGATGAAAAAGTTCTGGAGATGGATGGTAGTGGTGGTAGTACAACGAGAATATGCTGAATGACACTAAACTGTACAGTTAAAAATGGCTCAAATGGCGGGGTGCCTGGGTGACTCAAGTCAATTAGCAGCTGACTCTTCATTTCGGCTCAGGTCATGATCTCGGGGTCCTGGGATCGAGCCCCTTGCCAGGCTCCGTGCTCAGCGGTGAGTCTGCTTCAGGATTCTCCCTCTCCTTCTGCCCCTCCCCCTGCTCGCTCTCTCTCTCAAATAAATAAATACATCTTTCAGAAAAAATGGTTAAAATGGCAAAATTCACGTTATGTATATTTTACCACAATTTTTAAAAATTCTATACCGTTAGAAGGTGATTAAGTGCTACGGAGAAAAGAAAGCAGGCTAAAGGGGATTAGGAGTATGGGCCTACAACTGACAACAGAGTAGACAGGGAAGCCCTCGTTGAGAAGCTGACCTCTGTGCCAAGACTTGACAGAGAGGAGGCACTTGGCCTTGCAGTTGTCTGAGGCAAAGGGTGCTGGGCACGAATAGTCAGCACAGAGGTGCTCAGGCAGGTCTGAGGAGTAGCAAGGAGGCCATTGGGGCTGGAGTGGAGTGAGCAGAGGGGATGGGATTAGGAGACGGGGTTGGAGGACACGGAGTACCAGGTCATGTAAGGCCTTGCAGGCCACGGGAAGGACTTTGGTTCCATTTCATAGAGTGGAAGTAGTTTTGAGACTTTAATAAAGTTGTTATTAAAATGTAGAACGGTGCTTGGGACCCAGTAAGTGCTTGCTGTGACTATCACACTAGGAAAGCTCAGCAGGAGAGTACAGGTCCTCAGCGAGGGAATCAGACCCCAGGCCCAGCCCTGCTGCATCCCCGCCCGCCCACGTGACCCTGGGGATACCCTGCCTCTCACCAGGTGGCCTCGGGAACTCCAGGGAAAGTGTCTGTCAAAGTCTTCCTGGTCTGAAGGGTGGATTTTAAGTGCTGGCTGAGGGCAAGGGCTGCTCTGAGGTCTGGAAGGATAGTGGGCCACGGGGCTGATAAACCTGAAAGGCCCAGCCTCTTCCCACACTAAAAGAAGGTGCCAGGTCCCAGGCCTGAGGGACCTAGGTCCTTACTGTGGTAGGGACAGGAAGGAGGTCCCATACCCTGCATGGCAGCCCCTCAGTCCACTGAGTGATCCAGTGGGCACTCAGACACAGGGGTGGAGGTTACCATTCGAGAGGTATCACCAGGAATTATCACCCAGACAGGTGAGGACATGTACACAGACACCGTGTTAAGACAAAAGGCAGCCTGAAGGGCCCTCAGCAACTTCACCGAACTGGCTGCCACACCTGCCCAGCGTGAGGCCCTCAGATCCTACTTCCCACAGGGAGGGCCTCCTCGGCTCTCCCTCTCTGCCCCCCTCCCTCCTGCCCGAATCCACGTGTCTCCTCAGAGAACAAGGGCTCCTTCCGTCAGCCTTCGTCAAACACTCCTCTCCTCTCCGCTGAGAAACCGAATGTGACTGGAAGTAACCCAGCTGGGTCAGCCTTCGTCAAACACTCCTCTCCTCTCCGCTGAGAAACCGAATGTGACTGGAAGTAACCCAGCTGCTGTGGCCACCGCAAAGGCCTGTCCTAAGTAGCTGCCTCCCATTGGCTATGCCTCATGAGGAGATGTGGCAGCAAAGCCCCACCTCCTACCGGCTGCCAGGGACTCAGGTGAGGGGCGGGGGGGGGGGCGGCCAGCCTGCCTCCTACCTGGGCAGCCTGTCCAGGTAAGGCAGGCTCTCCTGCCTTCCTGCCACCGCCCCCCTCTCCTCCTTCCTACCTCCCGCCCCCCCCCGCCCCCTGCCATGAAGCCTGGATCAAAGGCCCCAATTTGGGCCTTAGCCAGAGGCTGGCGGGATTGTGGCGGGAGGGGGGCCTCGTGGGAAAGGAAGTTGTGGGGGTGGGGTGGGGGCTGTGGGAAGAGCTTTGAAGGCCGGAGACCAGGTATGGGCACCCCTGGGGCAGGAAGGCGCCCACTTGAGCCTGGATGGGCTGGAGATGAAAGGGGTATGTCCACCCCCCTCCCCCCACCAAGCAGGATGTCCTGGAGGGAACCAGAGCTCCAGCCTGTTAGCCTGTCCCGTGTGTCTGCCTTTGCTGTCTGATCTATGGTGTACTACCTCCCCCAACCTTGCCCTGTAGCCTGAGGCTGAGTAGTGCAGGCTCTGTATCAAGGGAAAAGGTAGTTTATATTATCCAAGGGGCCAGAGGTTATGGGTCTGCTATCCCATTCTGGGCATTACCCTCCAGCCTTGCCCCAACAGGAGCTACTCTGAAGGGGTGCCAAATTATATATTACTTAGTATGTGCCTAGCACTGTTCTAAGTACTTCACATATAAAAAATATGTGATCTTCACGTTAACCAAAGTGATAGGCATAATTATTATCTCCACTTTGCAGATGAAGAAACTTGAGGCTCAGAGATGTTAAGTGACTTGCCCAGGGCTGCACAGCTGGGGGTGGTGAAACTGAGGCAGGCTGGTTTCAGAGTTTAACCTCTCAACCACTATGCAGCCGCTATCTCTGCCACTATGGGAAATGACTGTGTGGGAGACGTTAGAATTCCAGCTTCACTGAAGGGAATGGGCCTCGGGGAGGAATGGGGGGGGTGCCCGGAGTAGGGGACGCTGCTCAGTCTAGCAGTTTGGCCAGCCTGGGAATGAATTGGCAGGGCATCCCAGTGCCCATGCCTGGGGCAGCTGAGGCCTCAGACAGGGTTTCGACACTTGGGTTTTTTTGTCATTTCTTCTCTTCACCCCACAGTCTGTGACAAGCCAGATGGAAGGATCAAGAGTTAGTAGACATGCCAAATGCCCTGCCTTCTGCCACCTCAAAGGAGTCTCTTCTACTCACCAGGGCATGAGGCGGCCCAGGCGGGTCCAGGAAGATTTGCTAATGCAGAAGCCCACCAGGGGGTCTGTGAAGGCGTCCCAAGCTCGGCCCACAAATAGGATGATGGAGGCAGAGAAAGGGTCCACCTGGAATGGGAAACAGGTAGAAGATGACCCCTTCATCCTTCTACTCACCTCAACCCTCAATGGTAGGCAAAAGCAGGGGCCCCCTCCCCATCTCATCCAGGCCCCTGGGATTGTGCGCTGCTCTCATCCAGGCCTTAAGCATCTTCACTTGCCTGTTAATGGTGATAGTAACAGTTCTCTGATAGCAGTCAGTAGCAGCGTGTGCCTTAGACATTTTCCCAGATCTGCTCCCTTATGTCCTCCCTTCCACTGCCCTTGAAAACACTCCCACCCATTAGAATGAATCCAGAATCCTTTCCTTGCTTCGCTCTCATAGCCCTGAGCTCCAACCACCTGATATCAGAATGAGCATTTGCTGGGTGACCACAGTGGGCCTCAATTTCCCCATCTGTATAATGGGAGTTATGATCCCTCTCTTATAGAACCGGAGTTAAAAATCCCTGTCTTGCAGGTCAAGCTCTATCTTGGGTGTGGAAAAAGGAATCTTTAGATGCTTTTAGAAAGTGGCCTGTCACTATCCAGTCAAGCTATTCCCCTCTCCACAAACCTTTTAGGCCAAAAGAGACGGCTTCTTTGGAAGAGAAGACTCTTCCTTATATCCGTCAAGGCTCTACTATTGCTTTTGCTCCAGGGAGCAGGGAAGCTAGTGGCCTCTCCCACGCTGTAGCTACCCCAATCCGACTTGCCCTACCCTCCCACTCCTGACAACAGTTCTACGCTTGGATTGCAGGTTCTTCATATTTGCACCTCACTTAGGGGACCCAGCCCATGGGATTTGTTCCAAAACTAGCTGCTTGAATGAAGTTATTTGTCCTTTATGGGGCTTAGTGTTCCCCACCTAGAAATGGATACAACTAAGACGGTTTGCTTGCGGAGTCAGATGTTACATAGAAAAGACAGCCGGTGCAGTGTGTGAGCCCCCAAAGCCATGGCTGTTTAGCTTCCCATTCTCCCATCCAGGCAAGGTGAATTCTCAGGATGCCAGGCTCCTGGCCGAAGCTTCTCAAAACAGAGCAGAACCCTGGTTCACCCTAAGTACCTCTCCTAGTCAAAGACCCCATACACTGGGCACCTAACCTGAGCCCGGCACTTGGGGGCCCCTCTGCCCACTGACATGCCTCTGCTTCTTAGGTGAAGGTGAGCTGTGCCTTGTCTATAAGCCTGGCAATATCTAGCCACCCCTGAGTGGGGCCAGCTGACTGTTGTCCAGTGGGGACATGGTGTGCCAGTCTCTTCTTAAAACAAGTGTCACTAGCAGGCTCCATTCTCCCTCATGCCATCACCTACCCCTCCAGGTTCTGTTGCTCTTGCCAGGCAAGGAGAAGTTGCCTGACCTTGCCAGCTGAGACTCCTGGAGCGGATAGATTCCCCTGCTGGATACTTTCCAAAGCCTTCTTATTTCTCCATCCACTGCCAACTCTGAGAGGCAGCAAAGTAAGGATTCCATTCCCATTTCACAGATGAGACAGTCCCTAGTCCGCCCCACCTCAGGATGCTGGAGGAGCCCTGGCAGGCTCATCCCACTTACCTGAGCCACATCCAACAGGTAGATCTGCAGGAAGAACCCCAGGGCACAGCCTGTCACCTGGTAGGGGGCCCCCCCAACTGCATAGCAAAGCTTGTTGCAAATGGACAACTGTTGTTTCTTCTTGGGTTCCTTCTGGGAAGAAGAGGAAGGGGTGAAAAAAGACCCAAGATCCTGGCCTCCATCCTAAAATGTTCCAGAGGCAGGACCATCCCTCCAGCCAACTTTGCCAGGAGGAACAAGTCTGCCTTGCCCGTTCCCACCCATGGAGAGCTCACTTCCCACAAGAAAAGGAAGGTAAAAGTATTCTCTATCTTAGGAACCTGGAAAAGGGGAATCCATATGGAGGACATTGCCCCTAAGCCACCCCATCTCCAGATTCTGAGTTAATTTGGCAGCCCACCATCCCTAAAAGACTCCCCCCAGGGTCTCAGCCATGCTCTTTTCAAGTTGGAGTGGGAGCGTGCTCCAGCAGTGGACCTGTCCCCACCCAGCACCAGCCGCCACAACCTGAAAATCCTCTTGCTGCCAAGAGCCGCCTAAGCCCAGCCCCTGCGCCCGCCCTAGTTCAGAGGCCAGGACCCACCTGCCTACTGGGTGAAGACTCTAGAGAGCTGTAAGGGCCCAGCCCAGCTGGCTGCGGGCACAGCTGTTCCTTCATCTGTCCCTGAGCCACCCTGGCCCCTGTAGGCAGCCAGAGCTTCAGGCCAGCCCAGGAGCTGTCCTACCCTCCCTCTTGCTATATTCCCCATCTCCAGCTCCTAGGGAATCTTGGAGAGGGGAGGAAAGGCCTCTGGGTGCCGGGGCCCCATCTAGGTGGAGCACTAGGAAGATTGAGATTGCCCTGGGGGGAAAGTGGAGATTACTCAGATGTGGTAGCCCCAGAACTGCTCACCCTGGCTCCTTGCAGGGACCGGTTAATAAAACGAAAAGGAAAAGTCAGATATGTGTTGCCTGGGATCCACTCCCCCTGGAGCCTCCCGATTTCATTAGGTTCTTCATTAGGTCCAAGAGAACTGGGGATGGGGTTGAAGGTCAAGACGCGCAAAGCACCTCGGGCGCCAACACCCACACTCACACAAACGCCTCGGAAGTAGCTCTGGTTCTTATGAATGAACCTGAGCGGCCCTCACCGCAGAGCTGAGGCGCGAGCGTGGGCCTGTGGGGTGGGGAGTAGGGGGCTGAGAGATGGGGAACTAACAGGGTTTTCCCAGATCTCTGGGGTCTGCCTTGCTTCCAGGGTGTCAAACCGAAGCCACTCGTCACAGAAGAACGGAAACCCGCTCAGCAGAGCCGGGGCACCACGTGAAGCTTCTGGCAGGGCAGCTCCGTAGAGACGCGGGGTGCGGGTGAGCAAAAGGGGGCGCCGGTGCCTACGAACCTTCTCCATCAGCCCCCGTCCCCAGGGCACCCCCGGGCCTCCCCTGCAGCGGGGCCCGCCTGTCCCCGGCTAGCCCAACGCGTCCCGGAACCAAGCCTCTCCCTCGACGTCCCCAACTCAGCTCGCCCTCACCTCCCCCCGCCCTCCGCCCGGGGGTGGCGGGGCCGGGCCCTCACCTTCACCTGGGCCGGCCGTTCAGCGGCTGGGAGGATGCCGGTGGGCAGCAGCCCCGCCGCGGAGCCGCTCTCCGCGCCCTCTCCTTTGGCCATGACCCGCGGGCCACGCCGCCGGGGGCCGGGACGCCGGGATGCTCCTCTGCTCCGCGGGCCTCCGCTCGGGCCCGGGCTCCCGTCGCGCCCACCGCCGCCACGGCCGCCGCGCGCCACTAAACCCGGCCGGCGGCTGAGGCTCACACTCCCCTGCACGCCCCCTCGCGCCTCTTAAAGGCTCGGCCCTGCGCTCTCCGATCCAATCCCCGGGCCGGCTGGCCCGCCGCAGCCAATCTCCGCGGCCGCGCGCCCGCCCTCCCGCCGGGCCGAGCCGCCCAGCCGCTCTGCCACTGAGCCACGTTCTCAAAAGCCGGCATCCGGCCGCGCGGCCTCTTCCCAGCCGCGGGAGAAGACCGGGACACCCACCTGACACGCGCGAGGAAACTGAGGCCTAAGGCTGGAAGGGAGCTGCCCGAGGTCCCCCAGAGTGAGTTCTCCCTGAGCCTTGCCTACAGCCCCCGACTTCTGACCCCCACGCCTAGGAACAGCTAGGGGCTGGGAAGCCCACCTACCCCTTTAAGATCAGGAGTCAGGTCGAGTCTCCCTCTCCTCCAAACCTGGTTGGAGGATGGAGCGCTGACACTTTCAGTATTGATGTCCCTCTTTCATCCCCCAAGACGGACCATTCCCTCTTTCCAACACTGGCTTCTCTGGGGCTCTGGGCGAAGGGGAGGGGGGAGGGAGATGAGGCTACGCAGCCGCTGCCCCTGCTGGCAGGGGGCTCCCGAGTCATGGGGAGGAGACAGGACCAGGACCACTAGCACACGATGATGATAACAGTGGCCTTTTATGGAGAGCTTCCTCCATGCTTGACATGCTCTCATTCAGTCCTCTCGGCAACGACGTGAGCGTGGGACTATCATCCCCATTTTATAGCTGAGGAAATGCAAACTCAGAGAAGTGAACCAGCTGTTATGTGGCAGAGTCAGACCTGGCAGGTTTTGCCCCTTTCCAGAGCCTTCTCTCTTAACAGCCCTGCTCTGTCCCTCTCAACAAAAATTACCAGAAGGCTAACTGGGGTATGTATGTCTCCCCAACAAAAAAGCCCTGGGAGATCCAGGGCTGACGTGGCACTCTGGGTTGAAATAATCAAGGAAAGGTTTGAGAAAGAGAGGACTGAGTAATCTGGTCCTTGAAAGAAGATGGACATTAGTCTGGAACAGACAGACGCCAGACACAGATCCAGAAAACATGCTTTTCTACCACCTCCGGGTGCCTTATGCCCGCATCACCCCAGGCTTCCCAGACACTCAAGAGGTCAGGTGGGGGCCCATTTGCTCTACTTAGTGAAGGGGCTGCTGGAATTCTCAAAGGCCACTCACCCCTGTTCCTGCGATTGCTCAGCTTCAGGCTCCTTTTTTTCTTTCTTGAGATCTCTGATTGCAGGGAGGAGAGATGAGCTCTGGCTACCCCAGGATGGCCACAGCAAGCTTCCTCATATGCCCTAGCAGCTCCCATCTTGGCACACAGCTCTTGGTCACTGCTGAGCAGAGAGAGCCAAAGCGAAGCAGCTGAATACCGTGCAGAGGGCACAGACTGGCCCCCATGGCTACACCACAAGCCGTGTGACACTCTTCTGTCTCTTCCCTTCTCTGGGTTTGAGTCAGCTGCGGTGGACTCCGTGATCCCACCAGCCCTAAAATCTTCACTCCTGTAGCATCACGCCGTATCACAAGTGATTTCGATCCCCCCACCCCCGACCGTGAACTCCAGGAAGACAGGAACCACATCTCTTTCACTGCTGTCCCCCTGAACTAGCTGGGACCTGACTCAGTAGGAACCTAATAAATATGTGCTCAGTGATGCATGCTCTTTCTTCCTCCGGTACAAGGACAAGAGGACCCCATTCGGAAAAGCCCCAGCCTCCTCCATTTACTAGCTGTGTGGCTGGTCCCTAGCAGCTCAGTTACCCTCCCCGTATGTAAAGTGGAGATATTAATGGTGACTACCTGGTAGGGTTGTTTTGGGTATGAAACAAGAAAATGCACAGGAAGTGCTTAGTGCAAGTACCTGGAGCTGAAACTGTGCTGGTCCCCCTCCTGGCCCGATTCCAGCCTGTCAGTGTAGCAATGCAAGATTCCAGATATGGCCTGACCACGCCAGCACAATAGGCCTATTATTTCCCCCAGTGTGGACGCGACACACTGTTAATGCAGCCTAAGACTGCTGGGCTCCAGAGCCTTTCTCTCCCATGATTAGTTCCCATCAGGTTGTGATCAACTAAATCATTCAGATCCCTTTCACCAGAGCTGGGGTCAAGTCAGGTCTCTCCCCATCCTCTGCTTCGTGTGAATGTCTTGAAGCTCACAGGACAATGTCATCTTGCTTTATTCCAGCCTGGAGAAATTGTTCTGAATGCTGGTTCTGTTGCTCACTGTTCTCTTTCTCTGTCTAAGTTTAGGCCCAGGGTGCTCCTTGCAACTTCGACTCCACCATCCATACTGTTGATAGGAACAGAGCCCCATAATATAACTCCAGAGACCCTCATTCACCGGTCATAGAAGCAGAGCACTGCCAGTACAAAAGCTCCCAATTATTGAGCTCCCGCTGTATGCCGGGCGAGCATGATGCTAAGTGCTTTGTATATGCCATCTCATTTACTCCTCACAACACCACTGGGGAGGGTAGTTTTTATTCCCCCCCCCCCGCCCCGTTTTATAAATGATGAAGCTGAGGCTAAGAGAGGGGAAGCAGGGACTAGTTTTATAAACCCAGAGTGAGGTCCCCTTTTCTGATGATGAGTGTGGTTATAAACTCGGCACTGAGAGATGTCCTCCAATCCCGACCACATGTCTCCATTGGCCCTCTTGGCCATTCTCCTTCCTTCCCCTTTACCCCCACACCACCAGGCCTGGAGTCCAAGGGGCTGTGTTGAGGCTCTAGTCCAGGACGGGCAGAGGGCTCTATTCGCCTCAGGAGCCTGGAGCAGAGACCTGGGCCCATTCTTCCTAGCAACATTCTTTCCATGTAGGACAGCAGTGAGGACAAGGGCTTCTCCCTGAAGGGCAGAGAGACACCCCCCTCCCCCCCATAGGACTATCCTCCCAGTCATCCTTGACCCCTTCTGAGTCTAGCGCGACCTCACAGCCTTGGGCAAATGAACTTCAGAGCCATCCCTACACCTCGCCTTGTTGCTCTCTGCCTGCCTATGTCCTCACAGGCACCATGCCCAGCCTGGTAGGCTTCTTTGTATGCCTTTGCATAGTCCCCTGAGGACCTGTGGGGGAGGCAAGCAGGTTCCCAGAGCTTCTTGGGATGCAGAGCAGCAGAGTTAAGTGCAAAGATCCCAGAGACAGGTTACCTGGCTTCGTATCTCTACCATTACAGTTTACTCTTGGGCAAATTACCAAATCTCTGAGCCTCACTTTCCCCAACTGTCAAATGGTGACAATTGTACCTATCTAATAGGGTTGGCATGAAGATTAAGTGGGGTGCTTAAAACAGTGCTTGGCACAGAGTGAGCACTTGAAAAGGGTGATGATGATGATGATGATGATGATGATGATTACCCTTATTAGTACCCTTGGCAAAACCTCACCAAGTAAGGCCGCTTAAGTCAGAGGGGAGAAATTTTGCTGTTAATAGCTAAGGGCTAGATTTATGTCTGATTACACAAGGTGGTATGTCTAGCACAACCGGATGCTGTCAGGACATGATCACCAGGCAGAGCTGTTGAGGTCTCGATGCTAAGTGTAGGAGTTGTCAAGTGTGATAGCTTGTAGTTTGTTATCCCATGGAAGATCTCTGCCATGCCTCACTGTCAGGCTCACCACCCTGACTTCTGGAAAAAAGAATTCAGCCCATACTTTAAAATATACTTAGCTTGAGAGCCACCAGGAAATTTACATTCTGGATGGTGGTGCTCTGAGGCCAGGGAATGGTTAGAGGTAAGGACTGGGCAGGCCCTGGAGCAAGCATTTCCTGGAACAGCTGCTGTGATGGGGATGCCCCAGGCTGCTCTCCATGTAGCTTTTGTCCTATGGGGAGGAGGCAGGGCAGAAAGTAGGAAGGAGGGACTTGATGGTCCCAAGAGAGGCTCTTTGGGGAGGAAGTGTCTGAGGGCCCTTGAAGTCACCAGGGAGGCTGCTAGTTCCTGCCTGGAGGTTGGTTGGGCAATTGTAGGACAGGAGAGGCCCCAAGACTGATTCATCTGACCGCAAGAGGCTATAGACCACTCCCCAGGGAGGTCCCCTATCCTGGGCTTCGGGACTAGGTTAGGTGATGGGTCTGACTTCTGAGCCTCAGTTGTCAGGGGATGAGGGGGACGGAGAGTGCCCAGAGATTCCCTGGGACACCTGTTCCCTCCCCAAACCAACCAGCCAGTATCCCTATATCTTCTCATCCTAAACTCCCCCAAGTTCTAGATTCTTCCCAGAAGAGAGAGACCTCCCTACTCTCCAGGAAGACTCTGCTGAGGAGAGGTAAGAATGATGGAGTGGAAGAAGCTGAGTAGTCCAGAGAGCCTTTCTGAGCTAGATGTCTCAGAGAGCTACACCATCGGAGGCCATGGTGTAGTTCAGAGTCAGCCCCAATGGTTGGATCAATCTACCAGGTAGCCTCAGGATCCACAAGATCTGGCAAAGTGCTCTCTGAGCAGGAGCTTAGAGTGTGGCCCCAGAAGAAGGGGTCAGGGCTGAAGCCTGAGCAATACCTCTCCCTTCCTTGCTGGCCAGGACTCTGCCCTGGCTCTCCATGTGCTCACACCATGTTCCTGCATGGAGGCCCTGCCTTGGTTTGCTGGCCTTGACCCTCCCAGAGTAAGATTTTCAGAGTAAGAGACTTGCTGGACTAAGGCCAGCATGGCAGAAGCAGAGCCTGCCTTGGGAAACTCTAAGACCCTGCCCTCTAGGCCTCCTTTAACCCATCTGCACAAAAAAGCAGGTTTGACAACCTAGCACCAAGTAATGGCTGCTTCTGCATCCATTATGGCCTTTGGAGAACTGGCTGTTGGTGACTACCTTCAGCCTCCTGGTAACCATGATCTCATGCTATTAAGGAGCAAGAGAACAACAGAGTTGGGGCCGTTAAAGAGTGTGGCCTGGAGTCAGTCTTGTCAGGGTTTGAATACAGTTCTGTCTCTAGCTAGTTCTGTGACTTTAGGCAGGTCACTTCTCTGAACTTCATGTAGTTGATCAGTAATAATAGCTCACAGTGTTATCCTGAGGATCAGGCGAGACAAAAAGTGTGTATGCAAAACTAACCTTACAGTTGGCTCTTAGCATATGTTAATTTCTTTCCTTGGTCCATTTACTCTTGATTGGCAAGATGTCTTTGCTTAAGAGGCAGGGGGAAAACATTTCTGTTCTGGGTTTAAAACTTAAAATATGAGGTTAAAAAAATTTTTTTAATGTTACTTATACTGGAATTAAAAATATAAATAAATAAATAAAAATTTTTTGAAAACTTAAAGGAGCACCTAGTTGGCTCAGTCAGGGGAGCATATAACTCTTGATCTCAGGGTTGTGAGTTCCAGGCCCACGTTGGGTGCAGAGATTGCTTTAAAATAAAAACTTTTAAAAAATAATAAATAGGGGAACCTGGGTGGCTCAGTATGTTAAGCGTCTGACTTGGGTGGTGATCTTGGGGTCCTGGGATTGGCCCTAGGTCAGATCGGGCTCCCCGCTCAGCAGCGAGGGGGCAGGGGGTAGTCTGTTTATACCTCTCCCTCTGCTCCTCCTCCCGATCATGCGCTCTCTCTCTCTCTAATAAATAAATAAAATCTTAAAAAAAATTTTTTTTAATTAAAAATAAATAAAAACTTAAAACATGAGGGCCTTAAAATTTTTTAAAGATTTTATTTATTTATTTGAGAGAGAGAGAGAGTGAGCAGGAGGAGGAGCAGAGGGAGAAGGAGAAAGAGAGAATCTCCAGCAGACTCCTTGCAGTCTCGGGACTCAATCCCAGGACCCTGAGATCATGACCTGAGCAGAAACCATGAGTCAGATGCTTAACCAACTGAGCCACCCAGGTGCCCCCATTTTTTTTTTTTAAGATTTTATTTATTTGAGAGAGAGAGAGCATGCGCACACTCTATCAAGGGGAAGAGCAGAGGGAGAGGGACAAGCAGACCCTGTGCTGAGCATGGAGCCCAACACGGGGCTTGATCCCATGATCCTGAGGTCAAGACCCAAGCCAAAATCAAGAGTCGGTCGCTCAACAGACTGAGACACCCAGGTGCCCCAGGGCCTTAAATTTTTTTTTTAATTTAGGGGCACCTGGCTGGGTCAGTTGGTAGAGCAAGCAACTCTTGGTCTTAAGGTCGTGAGTTCGAGCCCCACATGTGGTAATTTACTTAAAATTAAAACAAACAAACACAATTTTTAAAAAATAAAAGCTACTTGGAGGAGGTATAAAGGTGGCCTTGTCAGTGGTTCACTGGCCTACTCTGGGCCCACCCAGCAACACAGAGGTGAATAAGGCGTGGATGATCTTGTCCTTTGAGGAAGTCACAGCTAATCAGGGAGACAAACATATGCAGACTAAGTTACACAATGTGGCAAAGGCCTAATAGACATCTGTCAGAGTGCACAGACATGAGAATACCAGATTCTGTTTGAGGGATGGAAGTCTGGGAAGCCTTCACAGAGGAGGTGATGATGGAGTCAAACCCTGAAGGATGAGTAAGAGTTCCTGAGATAGGAAACGGCATGCCAGGCAAAGGGAACAGCACAGCTGGAAGAGTGATGGAGGATGGTGGGTGTAGTAACAATGAGCCGGGGCTGGGCATTTGCTGGATGGGAAATTGGTATTTCCCTGAAGCTGAGAACATGGAAAGAGGCCTTGCATCCTCGTCCTGAAGGCAGTGGGGAGCCATTACAAGGATTCTGAGCAGAGGAGCAAAATGACCATATCTGTACTTTATAAAGATGGCACTACCATTTGCCATCTCCTGGACTGTTGCAACAGTGCCCTAACTGGGCCCCTCTAATCCAATCTTCAATGACAGACAAAAACAAATCCGACCATTTCATCCCCCTGTTTAAAGTCTATTTATTATATGTGTTCAATAAATATTTGATGAATGAAAGATTAAATGAATGAAGGGGCTATCTGCAATAGGCACTTCTTCTATGTTTCTGGGTCTGTGGGTCTAAACAAAACACTTTCTGATTTCCTTTCTGGGAGAGTAAGACCAGAGAAGAGAAGGGTCTTACTCAAAGTCACATAACGAGTCAACAGCAGTGGGACTGCTTCCCATCCCATTGGGATTCCGAGGGGTAGTCCTTACAAAGAAAGCCCCAGGCTATGTTTTGCCTGGTATCTGAGTCCCCAGGATGGACCTTCTAGACCAGGGCCTCCTAGCCCACCGAACACTCCCCCATCACCACACAAACACCAGATCCTTGTCCCCTCCTGCCAGGACTAGGGTTGAAATCTGGAATTCCTCCTCCTCACCTTGCAGCCTTGATCTCTCCCTTTAGGCCTGCCACCAGGAGGAACATCAATGGTCTGCTAGGCTGGGTGTGGGATTCTAGGCCCCCCATAACTATTAGGCTGGGCTTTGCCTCCTGGAGCTAAGATGGGTCTGTGTTGGGTTCTAGGCTTTTGGGTAGCTTCTGAGCTGGACTCTGGGCTGCTCTGTGCTCTAGACTTTGGACTTAACTCTAGTCTGAATTCTGGGCTCTGAGCTTCAGGCCCCCTGGCTCTGGGTTCTAAGCTGTGAACTGGGTTAAAGGCTCAGGACTTGGTTCTCATTTCGGAGATCTGGTCTTTGGCTCTGGCTGGACTTTGGGTCTGAACTGAGGAACTGAATTATGTTCTAGGCTTGGTGGTCTGAATTCTGGGTTCTGGGCTTCAGTGCTGCATTCCGAGCTGAACTTTGGACCTGGGCTGGGCTTGTTTAGGCTCTGGGTTCCAGGCTTGGAACTGGACTTTGGGGCTGTGCTGAGCTGTATTCTAAATCCTAGGCAGTAAACTATGATCTCTACTCTGAACTCCAGGCTCTGGGCTTATGTTGGGTGGGAGCAAGAGGCCACCAAAGGGAAAGTAGTAAATTCTTAAGCCTCTCTGCTCACCCTGCTCCTCTCTGGAGACTCTCAGCTTTGCTCCCTTCTCATAATAGACAGGGCCAAAGTGAAGGTGGTAGTAGCCCTCCATGAGCTTTCCAAGGACTTCCCTGGCCATCAGTAAGAAATGAGAGGTGAAGGGTGGGGTCGGTGGCATGTGGGAGTGTCCTCACCTGGCCGTGAGCCATCCTGCTTGCTATCAAGGACCTTCCCACAGAACAGAGAGCAGTGAGGATGCACAGGCACAGCTCGCAGCCCGGCTCCCCGTGGGAAAGCAGGCCACCACTGGGGCTGGGACTGACGGAGGGGCTCCCACCCCCCCACCTTTCCTACCCCATTCCCAAGATTTCGCCCCACCCTCTGTTCCAGCCAGGAGTTGGGCTTGAAGCTCTCAGCCCCCAGAAGAGGTCATTCCCATTCCCTAAACCATTACTCAAAGCCCTGACCCTTACCCTGACTGCCTTGTCCCTCGCAGTGGACTGCTCTACATTTTATTCCCCTTCTGGGAAGTTCCTCTTCCTCCCACGTCTGCTCTGGAGCCTTCCACCCTGCAGGACTCCTCCCTAGCCCCACTGCTGAATATGCTCACTCCACGAGGCTGCCATGAAGGCAAAGCCCACATCCATGTGACAGACTTTACGGAAGGGGCAGGAATTCCTGTGGGTAGAAGAAATCATTTTAAATTATACATGTCGCATGACTGCCCAAGGGAAAAACAGCCAAAACCTGTTAACAGGATGTCCCCTCGTGAGTACACTCGGTTCCTAACTTTATTCTCTTGTCTCAGATCTTCCTTCCCTTACACCCACTGAAAGAGACCACATTTTCAGTTCTCCCCTGGGCAAAATCTCCATCAGTCTCTGTTCAGGAAACCTCACCCCCTAAGCCACATGGGATAGGATCAACAGGATAAGAAACACTTAACAGAACACTTCCCAGAGTCTGAGTTATTCGGTCTAAAAGAATATTACAGCAGGAACATGGAGGGGCCTTCACCAAAACAGCCCAGGATGGGCTTGGAAATTTTGACTCTTAGTGTCCTGTCTCTTTAAAATCTTTCCACTAGTGAGAAGTGACGAGCTATGCCTCCTCCTCATTGTTCAGATTTGGCCTTTTGGGGTGAGTAGTAATGGCAGGAGAGTGGTTAAATGCAGATCAAATACATAAACACTCCTACAAAACTCAAGTGTTTATTTTCAACAACAATATAGTCTAAATCTGTGTTGAGGAGGAGAAACACTTTCCTAAGGGCCCCATAATCTGGTCCCTGCCCTTGGTAGAGGTAACTCAAATTAAGCTTTGGAGCAACGTCAGACCCTCTGGGTACCTTATCTTGCTTCAGGCCGTGACGCAGCATAACAATGGGTCTGGCAAAGAGCATCAATGTAAACTAGACCCTTTTGGATGTATAATGCCCTTGTGAGAGCTTTGAAAAGATACCTTTCTTCAGTTTGGGCCAGATAAAAATCATGGGAGGTGGAGGGCTAGAATTCTTCCCACACTGAGAAGAGCAATCCAGAAGTGTGGGGCATTGGGTCTTCCCATATATGCTCATTCTTTTTTTTTTTTCCTTAAAGATTTTATTTATTTATTTGACAGAGACAGAGATAGCGAGAACAAGAACACAAGCAGCAGGAGTGGGAGAGGGAGAGCAGGCTTCCCGCCGAGGAGGGAGCCCGATGTGGGACTCGATCCCAGGACTCCAGGATCATGACCTGAGCCGAAGGCAGACGCTTAACGACTGAGCCACCCAGGCGCCCTATACTCATTCTTTACATCAGCCCCTGTCCCCCACTCTGACCACTGCATCCTCCCTTAGAGCTCTGTTTGTCCATCCTGGGAAAGCCTCTATCTGAAACACACAGGGCATGCTCTGTTCTTGACATGTTTCATGTCTTTTCATTCTGTCTCCCCGGCCAGATTGGGAACCCCAGGATACAGGGATGAGGCCAGGATACCTTCGTTCAGATGACCATTCTCTGAACCCTGACTCGGTGTCAGGCAGAGTCCTTGAGGAGTTCAGAGTCTAGAGACAGATCAACAGGTAAATACATAATTACAGTAAAAGTCTGATAAAAAAAATTATGCTAGAGGTAAGCAGAGGAGTGATAGGGGCACAGCTGTCACGTTGCACAATACCAGGGGTCTGTATGACGGGTCCCTCGCTGGAGTTATGCAACGAGACAGCTCTGGTCATGTGCAAGCCCCGAGGCAGCATCTAACCCAGCACTGGAAGCCTCAGCAAGTCCCTTAAGGATATGAGCTATTAGCTGAGGCTCGAAGGGCAAGTTTGCCAGGCAGATGGGGAGTAAAGAGCACTTCAGGCAGAGCAAACAGCATGTGTGAGGCCAAAGGGGGTAAGGGAACATGGTAAGTGTTAGGAAATATCAGGAAATACGTTTTGGCTGAAGCCCTGGGTGCATGTGTAGGAATGCCTAGAGCTTGTTTGTTAAGTGAGTTAATGAATGCAAGAAAGACTATAATAGCAAAAATCATAATCACCTGCATTTGTTAACCACTCGCTCTATGCCAAGCACTGTGCTAGGTGGTTTACGTGAACTCTCTAATTTTAACTTCACAAAAACCCCATGAGGTAAGTTCCTTATTAACCTGCCGTCTGCGGATAAGGAAACCAAGGCCCAGAGAAGTTAGTTAACTTGCTTAAGGTCAGAGAGCTAGTGAATGGCAGAGCCAGGATGGAATCCTGGATGTCCTGGACTCTAAAACCCTGAGCCCTTGACCACTGCTTCCCACAACGCTAGTGCCCTTAACTTTGGGCAGAGCTGGCCTTGACACAGACCCAGGTGGGCTTTTCTCAGCCTCATTCTAGGGCTTCTCCTCCGCAACGTGACCTTAGATGTTAGAGCTCTGAGGACCGCTTCCTTTAACCCTCTTTTCTCTTTAACTCTTCCTCTCCCACCCCATCAGTGACCACATTTATACTCATAACTCCCCGATCTACAGCTTCACCCAATCTGGATGCCTGAATGTGTATTTCACACAGCTAATACAACTGACATTTTTTGGTTTATTAGGCACCATGCTTGATAGATGACATGGACCCTACCCTCATGAGCTTATAGTCCGGTAAGCAGATCGAACTAGGCAATTGGAATGGAATGTGTTGGCAGAGAGAGCTGATACCAGGAAAGTGTATCAGTTAGGCCTGGGTTTGGCCATTGGTGATGGAAAGTGCAAATCACAGCCACATCACCTGGAAATAACCAGTCCAGAGCTGATATGTTGGCTCCCTCATCATCAGAGCCCAGTGCTTTCCGTTTTATTGCTCAGTCATCCTCTGCCATCCTTAACACGATGCTTCTTTCTCATTGGCCAGCATGGCTGCTCAAGCTCTAGTCCTCACGTTTGCATTCCAGTCAGTTGGAAGGAGGAAGGTGTGAAAAACAGCACACTATTTATAACAGTTCCCATAACTTGCACAAAATACTTCTGTCTATAAGCTGTTGACCAGCACTTAGTCACAGAGTCATACCTCGCTGTAAGGAATTCGGGGAAATATGGTTTTTATTCCAGGCCCCGCTACGTGCCCAGCTGAAAATCAGGGTTTTATGACTAAGGGCAAGCAGAATAATAGATAGTAGTTTCAGCCTCAGAAAGTACCCCAAAGAGCTGACACTTGAATTTTGAGGGATGAATCAGAGTTAGCCCAGTGGAATAGCACGTTTTAGGCTGTGGGCTGCAAAGTGCATTCTTGGAAATGCAAATGGTTCACGGTGTCTCCAGCATGGTGTGCATCTTGGGGAGTAATGGAAGATACAGACAAGATCACATTATCTAAGGAGTCATTTTGAGGGGGTGCAGAGTCATGGCCCATTCTGAGGAAAGAGACACACCTGGAGGTGGGGCAGGAAGGAGTCAACCTGTGTTAAATTTAGGTTTCTCCAGAGATTAATAGCCTACGTGTGGCTTGGCTTTAGAAGTCCCTTAACTTGGGGCGCCTGGGTGGCTCAGATGGTTGAGCGTCTGCCTTCGGCTCGGGTCGTGATCCCAGGGTCCTGGGATCGAGCCCCGCGTCGGGCTCCTGGCTCAGCGGGGAGCCTGCTTCTCCCTCTCCCTCTGCCTCTCTCCCTGCTCGTGCTCTCTCTCTCTCTGTATCTCTGTGTCTCAAGTGAATAAATAAAACCTTAAAAAAAAAAAAAAGAAGTCCCCTAACTTTCCTTCTCCAGCCCAGAGTTCCAAGAGATGCCAATTTGCAATTGCGACACACCGTGCCACAAATACATCCATACCTACATATTCACTCACCTACATGTCACACCCAGACCTCCCATTGATGTCGGTTCCTGTGTTTGGGGGGGTGGGCGGGCAGGGTTCTCTTATCTTTAGGAACCTGTGCCTCGTGAACTTTGAAGGACAGAGATTCGGCAGGAAGGCCCTGGAAGTTCTGGAGTGAGGCTACAGTACTGAGGTAATCATTTAGGAGCAGTCAGTGGCCGCAAGGCCATTGGCCTCACGAGCCTCCACTGCTGGTCAAAGGCAGAGCATTGTCCACATGAACTACCAGCTGTAACATCCTCCCCAGACACATCACCAGGACTTCCAAAGGTTGTGTTTATTTCCCTGGTTTTTTTTTTTTTTTTTTTTTTTTTTTTTTTTTTCAGACATCAGGGCAAGATAGTCAGCGGGGTATGGAGCGTCTGGCTCTCTGGAGAATAGACCCAACCCCCTTGCCTCTGCCCCTACTGCCCTTCTCTGCTCTTGCAGCAAGTAGACAATGACCCTGGCCGGGCCACCTCAGAGAGTTCAGCAGGGAATCCTAAGGACACCAATATCTCCCCACTGCCTAACCGAGCTCTCCAGTTCACACTCTCCCCCTGTTCCCCTTCACACAAGACACACACATCAAATACAGACACACCAACACACATTGCTCAGACCATGGACCCAGATCTACCTCTACTGCCCCACGTACAGTTATTCACACGCAGAAGTCACATACGCACACTGAGTACGTGCTGCGTGTAGACACGGCCCTCCAGCTGCCCACATCACTTACAGCCCCACACCCACTGCTACAGACCTACACCTGGGACACGTGGCATTCTAACATGTCTACACTTAGCATACATCCATCCCTACACATTCACTTACCTATTTACACATCACACCCAGACCCCCATTGATGTTGGTTCCTATGTGTGAGGTACAGTGCCCCCCAGGTTCCCTTATCCATAGGAACCCTGGCCTTCTGAGCTTTGGTGGAAGGGAAAAGGAAGGGAGGGGAGAAGGGGAGAAGGAAGCACCCCTACCTCCCCAATCCAAATACATATACTCAGTCCACAGTGAAGGAGGAAGACCAGCCTTTCCCCCAGTACCCTATGGACCCATGTTTGTCCCTGACGTCAGGGACACGGAGTTCTGGGCAGGGGATCCAGTATGGTGCACTCACTCTGCCCCCACTGCCCAAGATGCCCTGGGGACAACAGTCCCAGCCAGAAGCCTGGAAGCAAGGCTGGGCCAGGCCCACCAATGTCACAGCGGCGGGACAACCCTTGTGCAATGGGCACCGTGGAATGTGCAGGGTGCCTACAGGAGCTGACCCAGTGGATCTGGGGAAACAGCAGAGAGGAAAGGCCCTGGCGGTTACTGACATCCACTCAGTGCCAGGCACCCTGTCCAGACCTCCACAGCATTGTCTCCTATCATTTGCACATCGTCTGTTGTCCCACTTTATAGACAAGAGAATCAGGGCCCAAGATGGTGCTCGAAGCCTCCCAGCCAGTAAGTGGTAGGGTCTTGCCTGGAACCTGGGACTATATATCCCTACAGCACCAGGGCTCTGAGGTGGGGCTGGGATGCCGCCGCAAGGCAGCTCTAGGGCAGGGGTAATCCCAGAAGCAGATGGGCCACATGGGGCTCTGTTCTGGTCTTTTCCCTGTCTCTCTCCCTCCTTCTCACTGGAGGTACAGATACCCCCTGCTTTTCCAAAGTTTGCATTAAACACCATTTTGCTTTTACAAAAGACCTACATTAGTACCTGCTTTTGCTAACCGAAGAAATCCGAAGAGGATTTTCACTTTTTTAAAGATGGCGAATGGTGAAAAGAGCGCTCAGTGCTTGTTTTGCATCAAGCTGACAACCAGAGTGGCCCCGCCAAGCTCCTTCCCCAGGAAGGCTGCTCAGCAGCTGAGCATCACGCCACCAGAGATTTGAACTGTGGCCGTAAGCATCTGTGCTTTCTCGCGATTTATTTTGCACATACATTAGCAAGATGTGTCCTAAAGTAAGCATATCAGAAAAGCCTAACAGAGGCTTTTTTGGGGGGTCTGGGAATGCTGAAGAATTTTTCCATATCAATTAATGGCAATTGCTTCTTTATGCCATCTCAGCTTACGAAAAATTTCGCCATCTCAGCTTACGAAAAATTTCGTAGGAATGCAAGAGAAACCTGTAACCGAGGTGGGAGACTTCAGCCCAGGAAAGTGGAGCTGGGGATCGGGAAGGTAGGAAACATGGGGCGGCTTGCTGGCTGGCTTGGTTGGTAGAGCATGCAACTCTTGATCTCGGGGTCGTGAGTTTGAGCCCCACGTTGGGAGTAGAGTTTACTTAAAAAAAAATTTTTTTTTTTTAAAAAGGGCAGTAGGAAACAGAGGAGGTCAGACTTGTGTTTGAGAAGAGCCCTTTGGCTGCTGGTGTGGGCGAGGGCCTCGAGGTGGGAATGGGAGAACTGGAAGGCAGGGAGACCAAGGAGGAAGCTGATGTCATAGCCAGGGCAGGAGACTGTGAGGCCCCAGCTGCGCAGTCACTCCAGGACTGGAGAGAAGGGGACAGATGCTAGATCCCTGGAGAGGGTATGATTGACAGGATTTGGTGATCACTTTTTGATTGAGTGTGAGGGAGAGGGTGAAGCCTAGGAGGACACCCAGGGCAGAGCTCATGTGTCGGGGAGGTTGAGAGACCATTGCAGCGGTGGGGTCCCCCCAGGAGAAACAAAAGGGACAGAGCCTGTGTTCTAGCCTGTCCTCCCAACTTGGCTTCTCACCAACTGCATAACCCTGGCCTGTTACATATGCCTTCTGAGCCTCAGTTTTTTTCTTCTGTAGAATGGGGAAATTTTTATTTCCTTCATATAGTTTTTATGAAGATTAGGCAAAACATGTATGATGGTATCTGGCACAATTCATTTTTCAAAGTTCAGCCATGCCCCAGCTCAGATCTCTGGCTCCCAAGAAAGATCGTTGGCCTCTATCAGTGACAATCGCAATACTTTGTGGTCACAAGGGGTGACTTAGCCTGACCTACAAGTATCCTATCATGTGGCAGGCAGCTCAAGGTACCTCCAGTTTCCCAATTGCCGTGCAGCTGAAAAGAATGTCCTGGGTGCCCTGTTTGCTTATTCTCCAGCCAGTGGCGCCTAGCTGCGCTCCTCCTCTGAACTCTTCTTCCCAATAGTGTCCCAGAGGCCCACCAAGTGAGTCTGGGGGAAGAATGGAACTCCTGGAGGACCTTAGATGTCCTGAACCAGACTGGGGTCTTGCCCCACTTCGCCCTCTATTGGGCTACAGCAGGTTCCGGTCAGACTCCCCCCTCCCCACCTATTCCTCAGTCCACCTGTGCAGGGAGGTCTTGAGGAGGGGTCCAGTCCCTCAGGACAGAGGCAAAGGCCACCCAGGGAGGCACCTGGACCCTGCACAGTCTCCCAGGCTCCTCTTCTTTTCCTTTAACACCCTTCCAATCAGGATGCCTGGGTGGCTCAGTCAATTAACCATCTGCCTTCAGCTCAGGTCATGATCCCAGGGTCCTGGGATCAAGCCCCGCATCGGGCTCCCCGCTCAGCAGAGAGCCTGCTTCTCTCTCTCTCTCTGCTGCTCCCTGCACCCTCCCCCTTGTGCTCACTCTCTCTCTCTATCTCAAATAAATAAAATCTTAAACAAAACCTAACATCCTTCTAATCCCTTAAATGTCCTTAATCCCTTAATGTTAACAGGTCCTCAGGGGCCATCCTGGGCCTCCTGCTTTCCCCACATACCCACAGGCCCCCTGTGTCACCCTCTTTCTGCTGAGCACCAGACCCCCTATATCCCACTGATCTGATGACAGACCCAGACTCTCAGACCCCACGTGGCTAAAATGGAGTCCTCTGGACCCTCAGGTCAGTGAATGGGTCTTCCTCGCACCCATTCTCCCAGGCCTTGTCTCCTCTTTCGCCTCTGCATCCCACATCCTATCAGTTCTATTCTCTAAATACCTTTCACCTATCTGCTCCTCCTCTCCTCTCTGCCCTACTTCCTGCTAAGGTGTCTACATCTTGCACACCATCACTTCTGGCCTCTAGCCTAGCTGGGAAAACTCAAAGACCCACAGATCTTTTCCTTGATTCAGGGGCATAAACTGCTTCATTCTGACATGTTTGAGAAATCTTTTAGAAGAAGAACATGTTCCAGAAGGCAACATTTTAAAATCAGACAATCAACAATCACAGCTTAAGTACAATATCTGCCTTTCAAAATAAACTTGTCTTGCAGACCTTTGCAACAGGGGGATTGCCTAAGAGATTTTTTTTTTTTCCTGGTACAATAATTAACACCACTTTGAAAAAGGCATACAAAAATACAGTAAAAAAATGAGACTGCCTCTAGCATAATACAATAACAGCTTATGAAACACAAGCTTCCAAAGGGGAAAAAAAAGAAAGAAAGAAAGAAAAAGAAACACAAGCTTCTCAGACCTTCAGTCTTTTTAAAAGAAACCAAAATCTGAGTTTTAGATAAAATCTCACAATTTTAAATGTTAGCAATCAGTTTTTAAAAAAATTTTAAAACCGGGGCGCCTGAGTGGCTCAGTCGGTTAAGCGTCTGCCTTCGGCTCAGGTCATGATCCCGGGGTCCTGGGATCGAGTCCCGCTTGGCGCTCCTTGCTCCGCGGGAAGCCTGCTTCTCCCTCTCCCACTCCCCCTGCTTGTGTTCCCTCTCTGACTGTGTCTCTCTGTCAAAAAAATAAATAAAATCTTTAAAAAAAAGATTTTTTTTTAAGATTATTTATTTATTTATTTGAGACAGAATGAGAGAGAGAGAGCACATGAGAGGGGGGAGGGTCAGAGGCAGAAGCAGGCTCCCTGCTGAGCAGGGAGCCCGATATGGGACTCGATCCAGGGACTCGATCCAGGGACTCCAGGATCATGACCTGAGCCGAAGGCAGTCGCTTAACCAACTGAGCCACCCAGGCACCCCCCCAAAAAAATTTTTTTAAACCAGCGTTCAACCTCCAGTATGCAGCTTTGGGCCGTTCTAAGTGTGTCCTCCACACGGCTCTTGAAATGATCTTTTGCAATAATAAAAACTACTTAAAAAAAAATAATAACTACACTTGGGCGCCTGGCTAGCTCAGTGGGAAGATTACGTGACTCTTGATCTCCGGGTCGGGAGTTCTAGCCCCACGTTGGGTGTGCAGATTACTTAAAAATAAAATCTTAAAAAAAAAAAAAAATCCTACACTTAACGAATGCTTACCAGTCCCAGACTGGTTCCAAATGCTTCACATGCAACTCATTTAATCCAACACTCCACACGCTGAGGCCCAGAGGGGCCAAGTAATTTGCTTAAGTTACACAGCTAGTGAGTGAAGGAGCCAGGATTCCAGCCCAGCCATCTGACCGCAGAGCCACGAACTGGGAGGGTCCTTGGGATCACAGACTGTTTTTGCGTTCCAGCTCCTACCTCGGCTTAATAACTGATGGATGCATATATAAGTGAATGAACGTGCAGCTCTAGTCCCCTCTGCCCAGTTGCTACCTGCCTGACAGCCGGCGGGCCTGCCCCAGCAGCCGACGCCCAGAACGCGCGCCGGGGGTCCCAGGCGGGCCAGCGGGGAGCGGGGCTCGCACAATGCAGGTGCTGGCCGCTCCCTCCCTTCCGGCGCTTTGAGGCTCCGGGACAGCCCCGGCCGCCGCTTCCTGCGCACAGCCCGGGGCCTTGGACGTCCGGCTGCGGGCCCTCCCGCCCCCGAAGGCCCAGCCCTGGAGTCGGGGTGGGCGGGGCGGGGCGGGTACGGAGGAGGCACCCTTGCCTGGCACCCGGTGTTTGGCGTCCAGGCCCGAGGGCTGGTTTCCAGTCTCCCAGTCCACTTCCCGGCTGTGCGCTTGGGGCAAGTCGGTCAGCGGTACCACCACGGATGTGTCGCCTCCTGGCCCTGCCCTGCCCGCCCGGCCTCCTTGACACACAGAGCATCAAGGTGGTCAGGCACTCAGAGCCAATTTAAATTCAGCCCCCACCCCAATTCGTCTGCAAGTCTGAAACAATAGCTAGAAACAATAGCTTCTACATCATGGAACACCTTCGAGGTGACTGAATCACCGGCTGAGAGCTTTGCATGGGCAGTCTCATGTAATCTTAAGGGCCAAGCATGATGATTATTCTTATCCCTATTTCACAAGTTAGGAGACTGAAGACCAGATGGGTTAAGTGCCGTTCTCAGGTCAGGTGGCTGGGGGGTGGCAGACCCCAGATCTGCCTGATTCTAGTATCCCTAGGTTTGGGGCTGCAGTGTTCTGCCTAGCTGTTCCAACATTTCCGCCCAGGGACTTGCACCAGTCCTGGGGATAGGGACCCGGGTGGGTGCTTCCCTGGCCCTCATGCTTTCCAGTGCTGAATGATCTAGAACTCCACTTCATTTCTATGCAGACAGAAAGGCATGCCTGAGCACATAAGCACAAACAGGTTTTCGGTGGCGAAAACCTGGGCTGAGACTGGGTGAGGACCTCTGGGCCAAGCCACCGTAACAACACAACGCTTTCGGCGGGCGTACTCCTCAACAACCTCTGCCTGCTGAAACTGGGTGCTTCATCCGTGGGGACATCTCTGAGTGTGTCTGTGTTGGCAAGACCGCGCGAAAAGCCCATCTCCTCCCCCGCAAGACCTGATGTGGGAGAGGCTGAGGCAGTGATATCCTGGTAAATATTTAGCAACTAGTTGGCACGGGCTGGGGGGAAGCCCCGATTTGTAGCATTTGCAGGTTTCCGCGGAGCAAATATCCCACCATGGCCAATTTCAAGCTACCACAGTTGGACCTGGACAGCAGCATACAATAGCAGATCTAACAAAGAGGTGATAGTAAAATAAGTAGGGAAAGATGAGTGTGGAGTCTTTACTACCTTTGTTTTTAATGTAATTTAAGTGTCAATTTATAGAGTTCAATTTTTAATGACCGTGTTTCACAACCAGCTCATCCACTTCCTGAAAATGCAACAGTTGGATCTCAGGGAGCTGATACATCAACACTGTGCCAGGGTCACCCAGGTTCCCAGGCTAGCAGCTCCATCTCTAGCCTGGGTTTCCCTCTAGTGGACAGAAGAGTCATTCCAGGTGATTCTCTCGCTCCACCTGTGTGTCCAGAGCTCAGCACCCAGAGGGAGTGGATGAGGCTGGTTATCCTTCATGGGAAAAGTTTCTTAATGAGCGTCCGAATGGTTTCAAAATTGTCCTCAGGCACGAGACACTTGGCGGTCCTCCTCTCTGAGGGGCAGTGCCGGGGTGGTGGGGGCGGCCTCTGGGCTTCACCATTATTTAATCTCTAAGAGCTTCTTGAAAGTTCCATCTCATCCCCCAGGTGGCAGCTCAGGCTGGCTACACTAGCCCTTCAAGTTTGGGGCACACTTTCCATCAGGTCTATGTCTAAGGAGACAAACTGCTTTTCCTCTTTGCATTAGGGATTAAATTTTCACACAAATTATAGGCCACTGGGGAAACACTGATGGGGACCTTTGATATGTGTTGCGCACATGAGAAAGTGGAGTCACTTAGATGTAGAGCTGGGGCTCAGGACTCCCTCTCTTGTATTATGCTTGGACTCTCTTCTTCCAGAATGATCTTTCCAAAGCATAGATATATCTGTCACTCTTCCACTCACAAATCTCCTATAATTCTTCATTGCTCATTATCTTCAGCCCACACTCCTTAGACAGGCACGCAAGGCCTTGGTTGAGACCCCATCCATATTGTTTCCCTTAAATTGCCAAAGAAGGAAACAGAAGAAAACTGACATTTAAAAAATTCTCTTCTGGGCCATGCACTTTGCTAAACACTGCAAATACAGGTTTCTCCTGCTATCTGAAAGGAGAGAGTTCCCATGAAATCTTTCGTAAGCCCAACCAGCATAAAGTGAAAGTAATCCCCACGTTCTGAAAGTTCACATTATGCTCTTTGCTTTTTTTAAAAAAAAAAAAGGATTTTATTTATTTATTTGACAGAGAGAGACACAGCGAGAGAGGGAACACAAGCAGGGGGAGTGGGAGAGGGAGAAGCAGGCTCCTGGCAGAGCAGGGAGCCTGATGCAGGGCTCGATCTCAGGACTCTGGGATCATGCCCCGAGCTGAAGGCAGATGCTTAACGACTGAGCCACCCAGGCGCCCCTTATGCTCTTTGCTTTTATGAAAGACTTATATTAGTACAGTAGAGGCTTGTTATTTGAAAACAAAATCCTTGGGGTGCCTGGGTGGCTCAGTGGGTTAAGTGTCTGCCTTCAGCTCAGGTCATGATCTCAGGGTCCTGGGATCGAGGCCTGCATCAGGCTCCCTGCTCAGTGGGGAGCCTGCTTCTTCCTCTCCCTCTGGCCCTCCCTGCTGCTTGCATTCTCTCTCTCTCTCTCAAATAAATAAATAGAATCTTTAAAAAAACAACAACAATGGGGCGCCTGGGTGGCTCAGTTGATTAAGCAACTGCCTTCGGCTCAGGTCATGGTCCTGGAGTCCCAGGATCGAGCCCTGCATCGGGCTTCCTGATCAGCAGAGATGCTGCTTCTCCCTCTGACCCTATCCCCTCTCATGCTCTCTCTCTCTCTCATTCTCTCAAATAAATACACAAAATCTTTAAAAACAATAACAACAACAACAACAAGGGGCGCCTGGGTGTCTCAGTAGGTTGGGCATCTGTCTGCCTTTGGCTCAGGTCTTGGTCCCAGAGTCCTGGGATTGAGCCCCACGTCCAACTCCCTGCTCAAAAGGGAGCCTGCTTCGCCCTCTCCTTCCTGTTCCTGCTCTATTTTACTATCTCTGTCCTTCTCTCTCCAATAAATAAATAAAATCTCAAAACAACAAAAACAACAACAAAACAAAATCTCCAGAACCTTTTTCTCACCACACTCAAAACAAGGCCACATTCCTTAGGGTTCTAAGAACAGGACTGCTTTTCAGTGAAACTCAAGCAGAGGTAATAGAGCCACAGACAAGGGATAAGAAACCAGATTTTTATCTGATTAAATTCTTCTGGTGTTGGCGCCAGAGTCCTTCCTCTCCCTTCCTTCCCCCTTCCTTCTCCCCAACTCTCCCTTCTCATCCTCTCTCACCTTTATCTCCTTAACTTCCACTGGAATTCTAGACATCTTTAAGGCTCAGATCAAATTTCCTTTCTCCAGAAAACCCTCTCAGAGCATCTGGCTCAGGAATCTGCCTAATGAAAGTGAGAGTTGTTGCAGTTTGAAAGGAAGAGGAGATTTCTGGCTGAAACTTCATTCGACTCAGTCCTGAAAATCCACAAATGGCAGTGAGTTGGGGAAAAAAACTATAAACTCACAAGGGAAGGGAATGAATGACTGTTTGATGGTCACAGGGTTTCCTTTGGGGGTGATGAAAATGTTCTAGAATTAGTGGTGATGGTTGCACATACAAAAAAAGAAAGAAACAAATGGGAGAACCTGGACCCCTGCCTCACACCATGTACAAAAATTAACTCAAATGGATCAAAGACCTAAATGTAAGAGCTAAAACTATAAAACTCTTGGAAGAAAACAGGAGTAAATCTACATGACCTTGCACTTAGCAATGGATTCTTACATATGATGCCAAAAAGCACAGCAACAAAAGAGAAAATAGATTAATTTCGTCAAATGAAAAACTTTTGTGCTTTAGAAGACACTGTGAAGAAAATGAAAAGACAATTGCAGGATGGGAGAAAATATTTGCAAATCATGTATCTGATAAGGGTCTGGAATCCAAGACTATATAAAGACCTCTTACAACTCAATGACAAAAAAGACCAGCAACCTGATTTAAAAATGTGCAAAGGGGGGAGCGTGGGTGGCTCAGTCGGTTGTTAAGCTTCTGACTCTTGATTTCAGCTCAGGTCATGATCTCAGGGTCATGAGATCAAACCCCACATTGGGCTCTGCGCTGGGCATGGAGCCTGCTTGAAATTATCTTTTCCTCTTTTCCTCCCCCCATCCCCTGCTTCCTCTCTCTCTTAAAAAAAAGAAATGGGCGGGGCTCCTGGGTGGCTCAGTCATTAAGCGTCTGCCTTTGGCTCAGGTCATGATCGCAGGGTCCTGGGACCGAGCCCCATCGGGCTCTCTGCTCAGCGGGAAGCCTGCTTCTCCCTCCTCCACTCCTCCTGCTTGTGTTCCCTCTCTCGCTGTGTCTCTCTCTGTCAAATAAATAAATAAAATCTTAAAAAAAAAAAAAAGAAATGGGCAAAGGATTTGAATAGACATTTTGGAAAGAAGATATGCTAATGGCCAATAAACACATGCAAAGATGCTCAATATTATTAGTTGTTAGAGGAATGCAAATCAAAACCACAATGAATACCACTTCCCACCCACAAGATGGCTATAATAATAATAACTGAGGGGCGCCTGGGTGGCTCAGTTGTTAAGTGTCTGCCTTTGGCTCAGGTCATGATCCCAGGGTCCTGGGACCGAGCCCCGCATCGGGCTCCCTGCTCCCCGGGAAGCCTGCTTCTCCCTCTCCCACTCCCCCTGCTTGTGTTCCCTCTCTCACTGTGTCTCTCTCTGTCAAATAAATAAATAAAATCTTTAAAAATAATAATAGTAATAATAACTGAAACTAACAAGTGTTGGCAAGGATGGGGAAAAATTGTCATCCTCATACATTACCAGCGGGAATGTAAAATGTTGCAGCCACTGTGGAAAACAGTTTGGCAGTTCCTCAAAAAGTTAAACATAAAGTTGCCTTATGACCCAGCAATTCCACTACTGGAATATACCCAAGAGGGGCGCCTGGGGGGCTCAGTCAGTTAAGCTTTCAACTCTTGATTTTGGCTCAGGTCATGATCTCAGGGTCATGGGATCAAGCCCCGCATTGGGCTCTGTGCTCAGTAGGAAGTCTGCTTGGGATTCTCTCCCTCTTCCTCTGCCCCTCTCCCCCGCTCACATGTGCACTCTCTCTCTCAAAATAAATAAATAAATACAATCTTTTAAGAAACGGAAATTAAAAATATGTAATAGTCAAAAAATTTTTTAAATCAATAGAAGGATTGGAAGTTGAGGAAACCTCCCAAAAAGTCAAAAGAAACACACAGAGGTAGAAAATGAGAGAGAAGATAAGAAAAGGCTAGCAGGAGTTTCAGAAAGAGAAAAGAAAATAGTGGAGGGGGGAAATTTTTCAAAAATATAATTACAGAAAAAAAATATATATGTAAAATTACAGAGTGAATTAAAAAGCTTAAAAAGCTTAGGGCATGGGGCGCCTGGGCGGCTCAGTTGTTAAGCATCTGCCTTCGGCTCAGGTTGTGATCCCGGGGTCCTGGGATCGGGCTCCCTGCTCGGCGGGAAGCCTGCTTCTCCCTCTCCCACTCCCCCTGCTTGTGTTCCCTCTCTCACTGTGTCTCTCTCTGTCAAATAAATAAATAAAATCTTAAAAATAAAAAAAAAAGCTTAGGGCAAGGAATGCAAAAAGATCCTGCAATGCAATTCTGACACTAACTGTTCAGTTAGGCCAAACTTCACAGGTTAAAGGCACAGTCCTCCATAAGACTGACGTCACTTCTGGGGCGTCTGGGTGGCTCAGTCGTTAAGCGTCTGCCTTCAGCTCAGGTCATAGTCCCAGGGTCCTGGGACGGCGCCCCGCATCAGGCTCCCTGCTCAGTGGGAAGCCTGCTTCTCTCCTTCTCCCCCTGCTTGTGTTCCCTCCCTTGCTATGTCTCTGTCAAATAAATAAAATCTTTTTTTTTTTTAAAGATTTTATTTATTTATTTGACAGAGAGAGAGAGTTAGGGAGAGCAGGAACACAAGCGGGAGAGTGGGAGAGGGAGAAGCAGGCTTCCCGCCGAGCAGGGAGACCGATGTGGGGCTCCATCCCAGGTCCCTGGGACCATGACCTGAGCCGAAGGCAGACGCTTAACGACTGAGCCACCCAGGCGCCCCCAAATAAATAAAATCTTTAAAAAAAAAAAAAAGACTGCCCTCACTTCAGACACCAGGTGCAAGCTCAGGGTTTCTCAGGCCACCAACACTTATAACCAACTGGCTACAAATTCATGTGTTCCCACTACCCCTTCAGGTTTGATAATTCACTAGAACAACTCACAGATCTCAGGAAAATGCTGTACTAATGGTTACAGATTTATTATGGCAAAAAGGATACAAATCAGGACCAGCAAAAAGAAGAGACACATAGGGCATGATCTTGGAGGGTCCCAAACATGAAACTTCCAGTGTCTTCTTCCTGTGGAGTCAGAATGTATCACCCTCCCAACACATGTATGTGTAATAACACATACAGAGCATTGTTAACCAGGAAAGTTCACCTGAACTTCAGTGTCTAGTTTTTATTGGGCTTTCATTAGGTAAACAGGACTGATTGAATCATTGTTCATGTCAATCTCCAGTCCACTTTCCCCTTCCCAGAGGTCAGACTGATATCACATGACCCAAAGCCCCAACCCTCTAATTACATGGTTGGCCTTTCTTGCTTGGTCAATCCCTATCTTGGGTCTCTTAACTGTCTGGCTACCCAGCTTATCTAACATATCTTAAATTATCTAGAAGCCCACCATGAGTAATCCATTAGCATAAACTATCAGGGCCCATTATGAATAATAAACAAAGTCCTATTGCTTGGCAAATTCCAGGGATATAGAGGCTACCTCCCAGGGACTGGAGACAAGGGCCAATCAAATTCTTTATTATACAACAGTCCCACACCAAGGCATATCAATGAAAAAATTCAGAATGTCAGAGACAAAGAATGTACCCTAAAAGCTTCCAGAGAGAGAAACAGGTCACTTAAATGATATCAACCTTGGGTGACTGGCTGGCTCAGCCAGAAGAGCATGTGGTCATAGTCCCAGGGTCCTGGGACTTGATCTTGGGTTTGTGAGTTCGAGCCCCATACTAGGTGTAGAAATTACTTAAAAATAAATAAACTTCAAATGATATCAACCTCAATGACAACATTGGTTGCCAAGAAACAGGAAAGCAATACCTTCAAATTTTTGAGGGAAAATTAATTCTAATCTGGTATTCTATACCCAACCGTACTATCAACCAAAGATGAAGGTATAATAAAGACAATTTCAGAAATGCAAAGTCTCAGACATTTTACTTCCCAAGGACCTTTTCTCAGGCAGCTGCCGAAGGGTGTGCCCCAACAGTGTGAGGAAGTAAATCAAGAAAGAAAAAGCAATGAGTTCCAGAAAACAGGGGAGCTGACATAGGAGAGAAGCAAAGGGAATTTTCAGGATGATGGTGAAGGGAAGTTGCTGAACAACAATTGTGAAGCAGACCTAGACTCAATCAAGAAATTCAGATTAGAACAGGAAGATAAAGGGTTCCAAGGAGTATGTTTCCAAGAAAAAAATGGAACTGATAGACTGATTACTTGCTTGATGGATTTGACCGCATGGAGTGATCTTTGTAGCTCAGGTGGGAATGTGTAGGGTTAAATTCATCATATATAAATAGAAATCTACACAAAAGAAGAAAAATGAAACTCTCTAACTCTGAAAAAAATTGTGCAAGAAGGGAAATGTAGTCAGAGTGCTCCATCGTCATATAGTCAAAATACTGTAAATATTTAATATTTAAAAATCTAACTGGGAGAATAGGGGAAGGCCAAGTATGTGGGGGTGAGAAGGGAAATATAAGAGCTACATCTTCTATTGTAGAATATCAATAGGAATTTAAAAATTAGGAGAAATAGATTATATTGGTCAAAATATGGAAATAAATATTAGGGACAAAAAACAGCTAAAAGGATAGTTGCCTTTGGGGACTGAGAATCAGGGGTGGTGAGGGCAGGGCAGAAGACAACCTTTTTTTTTTTTTTTTGTAACCTTGTCATACACTTAGCTGATTTTTTAAAACCATGTACATGTATTATTTTGATTTAAAATGTTTTAAGAAAAATAAAAGAAAGTGAAAAAATTGAATGTTCCTAAGGTAGCATTTGTTATCTTAGGGAATTCATATCACCATCCTGGGTCCAGCTATCACCTCAGAGAACAAAGCTGTTAGCCCTAAAATCAGCAGCATCTCTATGGAACAGACACACATTAACCAGGCTCATGAGACTGATATGTCAAAATCAGATGCCAATTCATTAATTTATAAGGGGAAACAAGGCTTTGAAGCAGACTAGATCTTCTCGTTCACTGATGAGTGCATTCTCTCCCTGTGGGCGGATCTACCTAGGGAATAGAGTGATTTTCAGCAGGTTGCTTGGTGATCCAAAGCACAAGTGAAGTGGGGGGTGAGTTGAGTGGTTTCAAAGAATGAGGCCTCCATCTCCCTTGTTCCTGGACAAGCATCTTTGTCCCACTAGGATAGACACTCTAGTAATTGCCTTGACAACTCTTACTGCTCTCTGCTTCATTGGCTATCTAGATTCCTCCGAACTGGCACCTTCTATCTTTAAGCTGCTTTAATGCCTTTATTCAGGAGGCACCTGGGTGGCTCAGTCGGTTAAGTACCTGCAGCTCAGGTCATGATCTTGGGGTCCTGGGATCAAGCCCCTATCAGCCCCTTATTGGGCTCCCTGCTCAGCAGGGAGTCGGCTTCTCCCTCTCCCTCTGCACCTCCCCCCATCCCTGCTTGCTCTCTCTCTCTCCAATAAATAAATAAAATCTTAAAAAAAAAAACCTTTATTCAGGTTACAGTCTAGACGGGGCCTGACAGATACTCTGTCTCCATCAGGTAGGTTGGCACATCTCTACTTTACAACAGTAGAAGCTTATGTCCAGTCAAACAGACAACACATTTACAAAGCACCCATGATGTGCTAGGCTCTACTCTAAGCCCTGGAGTTATGAGTGGCCAACAAGACTGACATTTGTCTCCGCCCTCATTAAGCTTACAGTCTGGTAAGGAAGACAGACATTAAACAAAGCATATAGCTTTCGGCCACTGTGAAGCTGGAAAGGCAAGATTCTAGCCCGGACAGGGATGTCGGATCTCATTGTCCTCCTCCTCTTCGACCTTTCCCCGAAGCCTCTCAATAAAATGGTTTGATTCCTGCCCCCCTAAAAAAGTGTGCAAAGTGAAGGAGCAGCCCTTGTCTCAGAGACAATTTCCTTTATCCTAGTTTTTGAGGGGGGGTCACCTCGTGGGTGCCCCCAGGTATCACCTATTACAATGAATCATAGGGAAGGGCTGTTGAGTAGGACTTTCATCTAGATAGAGAAAGAACACCCATTTTCCAAGCATAGAATCCCAACCTTCTGTGGATTCTATATCCCAAATCCTTCCAATAAAGTTATTTTATTCTTAAGTTTATCTAGGGTTGTTTTCTGTCATGTAGAACCAAGAATCCTGACTGGTACAGCACCCATCTCAGACATCTGTGGACCAGAGAGCAAGTTGACAAAAGGCAGTTCCAAACCCTCTGCCTTAGGACTGCAACCAAACCTGGGACCTTTCTGATCTGCACCTTCATTCAGAACAAAGCAGGGCACACAGGCTGTCTCAATAAAATCTAGTTGGCTAAGTCACTAAGTCCACAAATATCTGCCAGAAGCTGTTCTAGGGACTGAGGCTACAAAGCTAGTAAGAACTAGTTGCTGCCTTCAAAGGTGTCCCACGTGCATTTTAGACCCAATATATTCAAAACTGAGGGTGTCATCTTCCCTGCCTTTTCTCCCAACCCATACATCAACTCACACTTTGTGTATGCTCCAACCACAGTGAATTGCTTGCACTTCTCACTTCCCTCTGCTGAGATGTCAACAGTGAGTACTTTGGTGTTCTTAGACCACAGGAGTGGGAGGAAAAGAGACAGCAGGCAATCTGGCTGCTGATTGTAGACAGCGACCAGACCTTGAATGCCACATAGAACATTCTAGATGTATGTATGTATGTATGTGTTCTAGATGTATGTATTGGTTGCTAACCCAAATTACTTTACTTGGCCTAAATAGAATGACCATATAGTTTAGCTTTTCTTTTCCCACGAAAGGCACAGAAGATGGATGACATTTCAGAGGGCTTATATGTCCATCATTTTGGCCATAGATGCAACTGCAAGCAATGGTCCCATTTTACAGATGAGCAAACAGAGGCTTCAAGTGACTTGGCCCCACAGCTAGCAAATAGCAAAGCAAAAGCTTGAATGAAGCTTCTTGACTCCAAATCCCCATTTTCTTTCCTCTAGTAATATAGCTCCTACAGGGCTGTTTTGTGTGTGGTGCGAGGGAAGGGAGATTCAGCCCAGACCTAGACACTGGGAAAAAGTTCTCCTCCTTACCACCAGTGCACCAGGGGCTAAGTCTGTTTTACTTGCCTGTCTTCTTGGCCTAGTACCTTCCCTACTCTATCGTCTTAAAGAAAGCCTCACAATACCCCTGTAAGGTAAGTATTACCATCCCTTTATTTTATAGATGAAACTGAAGCTCAGAAAGGTTAAGTTTCACGCTCCAAAGTCCAGAATCTTCCTACCTCGCCTCTCTGACGTCCAGATTTGGACCACTGCGGTAAAGAAACTGGCCAACAGGTGATAAAGAGGATACCCGGGACCAGCCCCACTTCCGGGCTGAGGGCCGCCAGGTGGCGCGGTGGAGGTGCGCCAGTCCCCCCACCTACACCCCGACCGCGGGGCAGAAGCACCTGAAACAAGCCCGCCAAGCGGGCTCAAGGGGCGGGGCAGGGGGTAGCCCTATTCCCTAGCCCGGAGTGGGCAAGGAGTGCGGCCTTAGTTTGCGTGCTGGGGACGGCCCAAGCCTAGCTGAAGAGTCACGCCTCCACTAGACGACCCTCGAACTGTGTCAGCTCGCTGCCTGCCCTGCACGACCCAGCGTGCCATTCATTTTGGGGGGGCGTCCAGGGAATAGAGTAGAGCCGCAGAGAGCAGCCAGGAGGGGTGGGGCGGAGACTCCACCGCCCCCACCTGTCGGCGGCGGGGGCGGGGGGCGGGGTCTGTCCCGTAGGGTCCGCCCCCGGCCCCAGAGCCCCGGGCGCGCGACGAGATATAAGGCAGCTGGAAACAATGCGCCTGCATCTCGCGCTCCCGCGCCGATCCCGGGAGCGTCCGGCTGTCGTGCGCGAGCGAGGGCGGGGACGCGCGCGAAGGGGGGCGCGCTCTTGAGTGCGGGCCGCGCGCTCGGTGGCGCGCATGTGCCTGTGTGCGGGCTGCCGGGCTGCCCCGAGCCGGCGGGGAGCCGGTCCGCTCCAGGTGGCGGGCTGCGGGAGCGAGGTGAGGCTACGGGCCGCCGGGGGGCGGGCTGCAGGCTGCCTCCGGGGCACCACGCGCCCCCGCCCGGCCCGGCCGGGCCCTGGGAGCTGCGCTCCGGGCGGCGCTGGCAAAGTTTGCTTTGAACTCGCTCCCCGCAGCCGAGTCCGCGCGCTGTGAGCCGCTTCCCTGGGCACGCCGACCCAGGGCTGGGCTTCCCGGGACGCGAGGGAAGGGCGCGGGCTGCCAGCCGGGAGGTTGGGGAGGGACGAGAGCCTGGCAGCTGTGCTGTGCTGGGGGACCTGGGGACGCCTCCTTCCCCGGCCCGCACCCCATCAGCCAGTCCCCTTCCCTCCCGCAGGGAGCGGACATGGACTTCGACTCGTACCAGCACTATTTCTACGACTATGACTGCGGGGAAGATTTCTACCGCTCCACGGCGCCCAGTGAGGACATCTGGAAGAAATTCGAGCTGGTGCCGTCGCCCCCCACGTCGCCGCTCTGGGGCTCGGGTCCAGGCGCCGGGGACTCAGCCCCCGGAATTGGTCCCCCGGAGCCTTGGCCCGGAGGGGGAGCCGGGGAAGAGGCGGAATCCCGGGGCCATTCGAAAGCCTGGGGCAGGAACTACGCCTCCATCATCCGCCGTGACTGCATGTGGAGCGGCTTCTCCGCCCGGGAACGACTAGAGAGAGCGGTGAGCGACCGGCTCGCCGCCGGCGCACCCCGGGGGAACCCGCCCAAGGCGCCCGCCGCCCCAGACTGCGCTCCCAGCCTCGAAGCCGGCAACCCGGCTCCCGCTGTCCCCGGTCCGCTGGGCGAGCCCAAGACCCAGGCCTGCTCGGGGTCCGAGAGCCCAAGCGACTCGGGTAAGGACCGCCCCGGGCCATCCAAGAGGGGGGCACCCAAAGGGTGGCCAAAACTCTGCCGCTGTCTGAGGTCTGGCATTGGGTCCTCGCAAGCCCTTCGGCCACCTCCCCCTTTCTCTGGCTGAAGCTGCCGGTGTAGCCCCCGGCGGTGTCTGTCTGGCACGTGGGTGTGTTAGTAAACAGTTTGAAGAAGTGGCGTGGGAGCCAGCGTCCTTTTGATGATGATTGAAGCCCCAAGGGACAAGGGAGACAGGGTGAGGCTTAGCGCTTAGAGTGGACAATACTAGGATTGGACTGTGGGGGATTTCTTCCTCCGGAGGCTGGAAGGGGTCCCTTAAAGGTGACTCCAGGCTTGAAGTTTTTTGTTGCTGCCACTTTCCCTGGAGAAACTCACACTCCCCTAGGGAGAGAGGAAGCTGAGGAGCCTTTTGTGCAAAGCCAAAGCCTTCACCCTTTAAAAAATCTAGTTTCCTGTCTGCTTTACTTTAAAATGCCAATAATGCCCTCCCCTTGCACCCCTCCCACCCTTTACCATTTGTGCCCCACACAATCACTCACCAGACGGGCAGCAGAGCAATGAATGCTCCCCATTAACAGATGGAAAAACTGAGGCTTAGAAATAGGAAATCACTAGAACTGAGCCCCATCTTCTTTTGCCCAACCGTCCATTGCAACCAGGCACTTTCTTGATGTTTCCAGCGTCTTCATGGTAGCTTATCCCGGAAGGGCTACACCTTGGTTTGTTGCTTTGGTCTGAGTTGGGAAGATGTTCCTCTAGCTCCCTCCTAATTTCACCTGTAGGCTCTGTGTAGCTGCTTCCTTGCATTCAACAAATGTTCTTTGGCCCCTGCTTGGTACCAAGCTCTGAGCTAGGTGCTGGGGTCACAGATGGAACCAGCTTCCTCCTCCACCCTTGGATGCAAATTTAAACCTCACTAAGGGCAGACTTTGAGCATCCTGTGCCACCAAACTACGATATTCTTAGCCTAGCCTCTTAGACCTCTAACCAGGAGAGAGACTGGAGAGGGTGCTTCTATAGGGTGCCAACTGACTAGCATCAGGTAAATCCGGACCTAGAAAACTCGCAGTAGCCTTTAAAAAGAATAACTTTTACATGACCGATTGAGAGGGAACTGGGGAGTGGGTATGGAAGTTGTCATACACTTGAGGGGAAAAATAAGGATAACAAGAAATTAAAAGTCAATTTTTTTTTGGTCCACTGTGTTAAGGTCATTTTTAACCTGCTTGCTTTCAACACCAAGAGCTCATGTTTGTTTAATGGCTGGAATGGGAGTTTTGAGATCAAGAAACCAATAAAGATGTATCTCTACAAAAGCTGATGGAGTGGTAGAGTGGAAAGCGCATTGTCTGGGGAGTTTGGAGATCTTAGTTTGAGATCCAGAACATTACAAAGGTGATATGCGGACATGGCTGATCTGGATCTCAGTTTCTCCTGCACACGAGAGGGTTGGACTTGATTGTCCAGCTGAGGCCATTTCCTTGTCTGGGTAGAGTTAGACCATCTCTGAAAAGAATGGTGTCTTACATTATTTCTTCGTTAGGCAGAACCTTACCAGCTATGAGGTTTAACACTGAAATATTAAAGGTTTGGGATGTGGGGAAGCCTCCTGAATCATTTTCTGACTTGCCCTTTAACCTGAACCTGTTTGCAAGCTCCTGGTTCACTCACAGGCCACATGGCCCAGAACAAAATGCAACAGATTGCAAACAATAAAGAGGGGGGGGTGGGGAGAGTGACTGACGGCAAGGCTCAGCCAATACGGGCTAGGGGCTGGGTCAAACAGCATTCCAAACACAGCTTAGCCAGCCAATCACAGGCTTTGTGGCCAGGAGGGCTGAATGGTCAGGTTTTATTAATGGAGAAATAATGCGATTGTCCACACAATGGAAGCCTTCCTGACAAAGGGGCTCAAGCATCCTGATACTCAAAAGAGGCCGAGAACTGAGCTCTTCTGTTGTCAGGCTGAAATGCATTAAGGTGGCCCTCTATGTGGGGGCTGCAAAATGCGTGAAGCAGGAAGGAGGTCCCCTATTTGCACCTCTCCGTGGTTGGGTAGCCTAAGAGACCTGTGAGCCAGGGAATGACGGGGGCATTTCCAGGCGCCTCCAGGTCCCTGGTGTTTTGGCCCTTGTATTGGGACAGTCTGTTGCTGCTCAGTTCCCTGTCCCCCGCACAGGTCGCTTGGAAATGTTTGCTTGTACCTTCTGAAGTTCCAGCAGCTTTTGCCGACAGGCGAATACAAATCCAACCCTCTTCTGGTCCAGGGAAGGGGGTGGGGCAGGCGACCTATAAAATGATGGATGTCTAGAAACCCATTGAAACCAGGAGCAAAATGCTCCTCAGGGAAACCCGTTCCCTCCCCCTGTGGGTGAGGAGGGATGGGTTGTAGCCCTCCCTTCTCAGAATCTTCAGCTGAAAAGGATGGCAGAATTGAGAGGTGGAGGAATAATAGGATTTATAACTTGTGAAAAGTAACAATTCCCCAAGTGCAGACTGTGCTGGGCAGGAACAAAGGGCAGCTCTGCCCACAGACCCCTCATTTACAATTCTGATGGGGCATGAAAGAGCCCGACCGGGGAAGATCTTTATAGCTAAACTTTGTCCCAGGGCCGATAGCTCTTTCTCTCCATCCCCTCGGTGGGGGAGGGGAGCGCCTGGGCAGACTGGGGGCTGTTGGCTTGGGTCTGCCTTTTGTTCTTATCTAAGCCTTGCTGTGCAAAAGGAAATTGGAGAATATTTTCCTTCTTGCTTATTTCCCCTTCTTTCCTTCACGCTGCCCTTACCCCCTTACAAATGAACCAGTTGTCTTTCTCCTCACTTCAATCTGTTTATATCTAAATGGGGAAAATGTCAGCTCCTTTCCCAAGCCCCAGCGTCAGGTCTGTGTGTGTGTGTGTGTGTGTGTGTGTGTTTCTCATGGGGTGTGTTTCTTCTCTGGATCTCTCTTCTTGGACAGAGGGTGAAGAAATTGACGTCGTGACAGTGGAGAAGAGACAGTCCCTGGGTGTACGGAAGCCGGTCACCATCACGGTGCGGGCAGACCCTTTGGACCCCTGCATGAAACATTTCCACATCTCCATCCATCAGCAACAGCACAACTACGCTGCCCGTTTTCCTCCAGAAAGCTGTTCCCAAGGAGGGGCTCCAGAGAGAGGTCCCCAAGAAGAGGCTCTGAAGAGAGATGCCCCAGAGGAAAAGGAAGAAGAGGCAGATGAAGAGATTGTGAGTCCCCCACCTGTAGAAAGTGATGCTCCCCAGTCCTGCCACCCCAAACCTGTCAGTTCCGACACCGAGGATGTGACCAAGAGGAAGAACCACAACTTCCTGGAGCGCAAACGGCGGAATGACCTCCGTTCTAGGTTCTTGGCCCTGAGGGACCAGGTACCCACCCTGGCCAGCTGCTCCAAGGCCCCCAAAGTGGTGATCCTGAGCAAGGCCTTGGAGTACTTGCAAGCCCTCGTGGGGGCCGAGAAGAGGATGGCCACGGAGAAAAGGCAGCTCCGATGCCGGCAGCAGCAACTGCAGAAGAGAATTGCATACCTCAGCGGCTACTAAGTGACCAAAAAGCCTGACTGCTCCGTCTTACAGAGACTCGAGTTTATTTTTTCACCTTCCTTCTCCCCCTTGGTAATTTGCACATTTTGGTGACGGTGGGACCGGCGGAACAGTACATTCCAGAATGCAGTGCAGCCGGTGCCCACACTCTAAGGGCTTGCGTTCTTGGAAACCTTGAAAGCCAGCTCTCCCTCCTCCCTGACTCACAGGAGCACTGGGTTTTCTCTGCGCCTTTGGCTTCTCAGGCAGGCAGCTGACTGAGGAGACCTGGGGTCTGCCTAGCTCACTAGCTCAGAAGAAAAGCCTGACAGATGCTATGCAACAGGTGGTGGACGTTGTCGGGGGGCTGCAGCCGGCATGAAATCTCACACTCCGGATGAGCTTCGGGCTGGGAAAGGATGCTCCCACTGGTGTCTCTGGGGTGATGCTGGGACAGCTGGGCCTGGACGCTCTCCCTGAGGCTCTTCTTTCCAGGAGACACACGAGCTGTCTTGGGTGAAGACAGGCTCACAGACTTGATCAACATGGACCATTACCTCACTGTCAGACACTTTACAGTAGCTGAGGAGTTGGAAACCTTAAATATATATATATATATATATATATATATAAATAAAACAATGTTAGCACCCCTCCTCCCACTCTAAATGCTACGACCTTGAGAACATTTAAAGAGCTTGGCCTCTAGATTCTTTGTCTCAAAGCCCTCTGGGCCCTATCCTCTGAGGGAAAAACCATTCTGTCCCCACAAGGGACTTTTTTGTTTCCTTCTGCCTTTGTTCTGCAATGGGCTCTACAGCACCCCTTTCCCACAGGTCAGAACTATTTCCCCAAGACCCTGGGAAATGGGTCCTAGCCTGCGGCCTGGGAAAGGCTTGGAGTCCTGGCTGTGAACGTGTTATCTGCCCAGGTGTTTTCCATCTTGGAATCTTTACTCGAGGCAGATGTCAGGCACCTCGGGAGGGAGAACTCTACCACTTCCTCTTTCCCACTTCCCTCTCATCTCAGTCCCTGACTGGTAAGTTTGAAGTTCTACTAGAACCATGCAAACTGTCCTTCTAGTGCAACTCCAAGGAGCTAGCTTGCTGGCTCTGCAGCCACCCTTGGGCCCCTTGCCAGCCTGACATGAGTCAGATCTCTTTCCCAGCGTCTGGGCCTTACCGAAGTTCTTGCTAGGAGAGCTGCTGGGACTCATCCAGTGCTCCAGAAGGTGGACTAGTTTCCTGGTGGGTTTTAAAGGAGCTTCCAGGAACTCTGCTTAGCCGACCATGGATTTTGCCCCAGGTGAACTTGGTACCTCCAAGTGGATTCCAGGTGTAGCCTCCAGTCTGGAAAAGCATCCAACCCAACAGGTGTCCTGTGGGCAAACTCAGGAGCCCCTAAGCCTGGCCCAGAAGAAAGATCAGCCCCTCCAGAATCCTGCCCAGGGCAGCAGGTGCCTACTGGCTGTGGTTTGGAAAGTGGGGGAGGGGAGGATGGTAGAACATTCTCTGTGGCTCTGCAAAGCCAGCTGCTGCTTCCAAACTTATTATGCACAATGGTCTGTTTCTGAGGTTGCTTCATGGCCTCAGAGAACCCCAATGGAAGTTTGGGAAAAAACCTCTCTACCTTCTTGAATATGGTTTTCGGGAGCCAACTGACTTCTGGAACTGTCTTTGGAGAACAGGTGGGATGTAGGTTACTGATGTATCACCTGAATAGCTTGTGTTTTATAAGCTGCTGTTGGGTATTAAGCTGGGAGCAGTGGTTTGTTTTATTTGTTTTTTTTTTTAATACTGTATTTTTGTATGCCTTTTGCAAAGTGGTGTTAATTGTTTTTGTACAAGAAAAAAAAAAACAACTCTTGGGCAATTCTCCTGTTGCAAGAGTCAGATTTATTTTGAAAGGCAAGTTTACCTGAAATTTTGTATTTAGTTGTGATTATCGATTGCCTGATTTTAAAATGTTGCCTTCTGGGACTTCTGCTAATAAAAGATTTCTCAAACATGTCAGAGTGGGGGCACCTTATGCCAACCAAGTCCCCCTGAGCCAAGGAAAACAATTTTAGGGTAACCACCAGTGATCTAGAGGGTTGCATTTCTCCAACCATGTTGCTAACCAGGTCATTCCACTTTGGGTTCCTGAGATGCCATTTCAGACATGTCTAAACAACGTCGGTGCAGTGCTTGGTGTACTTAGTGAACGTGAAATTCTCTTGTGAATTGCAAGGAGTGCTGAATTTGTACTTTAGAAGGTTTGAAATCCCAGTTCCACTACCTAACTTGTTCTGTGCCTTTTAGCTTTACCTCTGTGACCCTTAGTCTCCTAATCTGTAAAATGGGGATAAATACTAGTGCACAGGGGGTTGGCAGGTATTAATGAAGTAGTAGACTTTAAGCCCCCTTTTTTTTTTTTTTTAAGATTTATTTATGTATGGGGGTGGGGTGGGGCAGAGGGAGAGGGAGAGAGAAACCCAAGCAGACTGCACTGAGCCCCGAGCCCGACGAGGGGCTCGATCTCAAGACCCTGAGATCAGGGCTCTGAGATCATGCATGACCTGAGCCGAAACCAAGATTCGGATGTTTAACCCACTGCACCACTCAGGCGCCCCTAAGCCACTTTCTAGAGTATAAAACCTTATATTCTTTAAGGTGGTACCGTTCTTACCTTGGTGATCCGATGACTTCGCAGGATGTCTTAAAAATTCTCTACAGTTTTGTGATGTAATGTGATTTTTTTTTTCCTTTTCCCTCAATTAATGAAAGAAAATGAAGGCTCCCCTTCCCTCTCCCATCACTCTCATAAACTTGCCATAAATGGAAGAAAGGAAAATTGAATAATCACCATTCCTTAACCGACTGAGCCACCCAGGCGCCCTGTAATAACCATTCAGCCATCAGCCATTCCTGATAGAACACTGCCTATACGAAAGCACTCTGCTCCCTCTTACGTAGGACACCACAACCAACTACTTGCCGGGGCCAGGGAGGAGGGAGACCGAGGTTCTCAGAGTGAAAATACAACTGCCCAAAGTGACCGGGCTAGTAAGTAAATGAATTGGGATGGAAACTTGCTTTGCCTATCTCCACAGCCTGAGGTCTTAATCACTGCATAATAACGACAGCGTGTTTTGTTAGCAAGGGGTGTGTGGGGGAGGTAAATATGGAATTCCATCACTTAACTGCTTGATGGAATTGTCTCTCCTTGGGGCCATTGTGCCTGCCACTTATTGGGATGAGCTAGAGCAAATGTTCCATGACTAGTCACTGTGCCGCATTTGTGGGCTGGGTGGCTTAGTTTTGCCCCAGAGAGCCCCCCACCCCCACTCCAGGTCTGGGAAAGGCCAACAGTTGCTGTTGGGAAAGGCCATGAGCATCATGGTGGAGGGAAGCCAATTTGCCTCAGTTAATCCTTCCTTACAGCTCTCTCCTGGCTGGTATTGCCTACCTGCTCTCCCTCTCTTATATAGCCTGAGTAGAGTCAAAAAGCTCTTATAAATTCCTCACATTTGCAAAGTGCCCCTCATCACAATGTGTAAGTATGCAACCTCTGCCACAGAGTACCGGAGCCCAGAGCAGATTCTGGCTCAAGGTCACAACAAAATCAGAATCCCAAACCCAGTCTCCTGTCAGGTAAACTTTCTACCCCATCCCCACTGCCTCCAAGTCACCAAACCTAGTTTGTAAGTAGTTGTTTGATAAAAATAGGCTTGCATTGTTGGGACTCTCTTCTTAGAACTGCAGTTCCCTCTTTCAGTTCTAGTCACTCTGCTCCCAGTATACTCATCCTGCTTCTTTGATGCCATTTATCAAGAGACTAATTTGTAGGACTTCTCTCCCTTTCCTGGCCTTGAAAGAATTCATGGGTCCTTGGTAAAATAGTAGAGACTCCTACTTACGGGGACTGGTGTTAGTTGTTTTACATATCTTAATTCTTACAATAACCTAGAGAACAGGGTGGCATCAGCCCCATTTCACAGATGAGCAACCTGAAGCTCAGACACATTGAAATCATTTGTCCAAGCCCACACAGCTAGGACCAGCCGTCTGTCTCCAAGCCTCAGCTCCTCTGAGTCCAACTCTGCTGAGAAAGGAGTGGGAATAAAGCCATCTCCTGGGGGGAAGGGAGGGTGTTTCTGGAATGTGAAGTATTTTAAGCTCCTTCCTAGCTCATTTCTACAAACTCCTACCTCTATCTTTGTCTGAAAATAGCCAGGAGTTTATTCCTGGATTTCAGAGAACAATTTCTACAAATTAGGTTTGACTGAGTAGTACACCTAAGGGACTGTGCACCCAACTTGAGGACACACATGTGGACAATAAGGGGCAGCTGAGAAGCCACACTTAGTGTAGAAAAGAAAGGTCACCCTCCCTGTTAGACAATAAAAGGCTAACACGTGTGCTAATTCCCGCCCTTGTGGGAAGCTATTTTGGGGGGGACTGAGACAGGTTGAACTATCTTAGATATGCTGAATTGGTCTAAAGTGCTCCGGGGTTAGGATATTCCAGAATATTCACTTTAGAAGGAGGAGGGGAGGATGGGGATGGCTTGTTGCTTTGGAAGGTGATAGGAGGGAGTGAGAAGGAGTTTCCTTTCTGAGGATAAGGATAGCCAGTTGGAAGATAATTGATGAGTGGGTGACTGGGGAGGGGTGGAGGGGAGGTGTCTAAATGTGTCAGCTGAAGCTCCGCTGGGGTGTGAGCATTTCTACTTTAAGCCCGGTGGGCAGCTCTTGTTAATGTCTTTATTTGGAACTGCTGCCAAAGGGATCAACTGTATTAATGTTACCATTCTTTGGGCCAGGAAATGTAAATATGTTCTTAAAGTCTCTAATCAGGTGAGTTATTAAATAATTAGACTCAGTGCCAGGGGCCCAGTAGGTGCCCAGGAAGTGTTGAATCGCCTTTAAACTTGTAGGAAGCAGTACGGCTGAGTGGTCTCCCACACCCAACAGATCTGAGTTCCAAATCTGCCTCTGCATTTTCCAGCTGTACCTTTGCCACCACCTTGGGTAAATTATTAGCTTCTCCCTGAAACAGGTCTAAATAATAGCACCCACTTCACGGGGTTGTTGTGAGCAATAGTAAGTGCTCAGTAAATGATGAGTGTTTTTCAAACCATTTAGCAAGCCACACCTAGAATATAGATTAGTCATATTTGAAAGCGATGGAAGAGATTGGTAAAATAAGGGATCTTCCCAGAAGGAGTACTTAAAGTAATCTGGAGTGCACAGACTGATGCCTCAAGAGGAAATAGGTCATTAGGGAAAGAGTAGCCAGGGTTTGGGAGCTTGAGCTAGGCACAGGGGAAAGTGAGGCACAAGACCTGAGCTTCTGGCTGGTCCACAGCATCCCACGACCCACGGCAGGCAAGAGCTGTGAGTCTGGGATGCTGTGGCACCTATGGGCCCTCCCTGTGTCCTTACTGGGCACTGCAGTATCTTTGGACTGAGCTGGAGTCAATTGACCCCATTTCACCAGTTAACCCCTCGAATGCCTGTTTTGTTCAGGTAGTGACTCTCAAACTCGAGCGTGTGTTAAGAACCTACTCCCTGCCCCGACCTGATGCACTAGGTCAGAGCTAGGAATCTACGCTGCTGACAAGCAAACGGGAAGGTGGAATCCTGAGGTCACACTTAGAAGAACGTTGGAATGAGGAATGTGGAGATTTAAAAAAAAAAAAAAAAGTAGCCACAGAAGGTGGTGTAGATGGCATAGTATGATGGTTAAGAACGGGGATTTGGAGTTACTACCTGTGTGATGTTGGGCAAATCCCTTAATCTCCCTGAGTCCTAGAAATTTCCTTCTTCACTGAAATGGATATAATATTAATACCTACCTCACAGGACTGTTGTAAAGATTCAACAGGTAATTATATGTAAAAGACTTCGAACAGTGCCCGCCACAGAGTGAGAGCAGTGATCTATGAAGCTAGGCTCCTTGTGGAAGTTCATGAGCGTGTGAACATGATCACAAGATAAGGCAATATCCATCTCAGACGAGGGCTACAAGCGTCAGAAGGGGAAGAGAGCACTCTGTTTGGAGTCATCAAGAAAGTTCTTGGTGGAGATACTGTGACTATAACTGGAACTGGAAGTCCCTGCAGCATGTAACCGAGTGAAGAGGATGGTGTTCTAGGTGGAGGGAATAGTTTGGGGGGAAGAGGGGATTGGGAAGGTTGTATGGAGTCTGGGGAATGGGGAAAAATCTGGTTTGATGTGCTGGCTGGGTGGTCACATTTTTACAAAACCAGAGTTGTGCTGGATTTCTAAAAGGACCCTTTTGATAGCCAACATCCTCAGTGATTCTTTGAAATAGGGAAGTCAGGGTAAGAAACTGATTGTGGTTTGGGACACCATGAGGTTTGAGGTGATGGGGTCATATGAAATAGAGCACCCAACAGGAAGTCGAGGATGTGATACTAAAGCTTTAGGAAGGGGTTTGCAAGGAAGGTACAGATTTGAGACTCATCAGGATATAAAGATGATGAAGGCCCGACCTTCCAAGCCATGAGAAAGAGAACGGGCCAGAGATACAGAGGAGAGGGCTTGAAAGAGTCATGAGCTCAGGACTGGAAAGGAGCATCTTTTTCCCTTTTGCACTTTTCCCACTCTGATCTTCCAGCCCTCGGGGCTTCACTGTGGGTGTGCAGGCCCTCTTAGACAGCTGCAGAAGACTGGAAGTGAGCTCCCTCTGAGAACATTCTGGTGAGCTCTGGAGAAAACCCTATTAACTTAACTTTAGGTATAACATAACCCCTATAACATGGTGAGCTCCACTCTCTTGTGAGGGGAACCTCACTTGTTTTGAGCAATTCCGAGCTCCCAAATTTGAATCGACAATTCGCCAATGGAAACAGCAACCAATGAAAACTACTGTGATTACTCACAGGCACTCTACTGGGTTGTATTTTGTCCCCCACCAATCTCATGTCTATCCAGAACTCATGAATGTGACCTTGTTTGGAAATAGGGTGTCTACAGATGTAATCAAGTTAAGATGATGTCATAGTGGATTAAGGTGGTCTCTAATTCAAGGATTGGTGTCCTAGGGAGGGAGAAATGTAGACAGAGACACACGCAGAGAAGAAGGCCATATGAAGACAGACGCAGGATTGGAGTCATGCTGCCACAAACCAAGGAATGCCAGAAGCTAGAAGTTAGAAGAGGCAAAGAAGGATTCTTCCCTAGAGGGAGGCTTCGGACCATGGCCCTGCCACCCCTTGATTTTGGGCTTCTGGGGTCCAGAACTGTGAAAGAATACATTTCTGTTGTTTTGAGCCACACAGTTTGTGGTAATGTTATGGCAGCCCTAGGAGACTAATACAGGCACCAAGTTTATCATGAAATAATCCCACAAGATATATTTTTTATTTGGGATACCTAATTAGTACGGGGTCAGGCTGAAAAGGCACCTAGGGTTATAGAAAAAGCTAGTGTTTGTCTTCAACTCAACTTTCTTCTCTGGCCTTGGAAACAGAGGCTTCAGACCTCCCATGGCATGTTCCTCCTTCTGTCCTATCACAGCATCCTCTAGATTTCCATGTTGAACATTTGAGCTTTCTGGCTGCTTCCCTTTGAATGGCCTTTCCACTCTAATGGCTTCACCTTTAGCCTCTTGCCTATGCTTCTTCTTTTTTCTAAAAAAAAAAAAAAAAATGTTTAAGTAAATCATTTAAAATATACAGAGGACGGGGCACCTGGGTGGCTTAGTTGGTTAAGCGACTGCCTTCAGCTCAGGTCATGATCCCGGAGTCCTGGGATCGAGCCCCACATCGGGTTCCCGGCTCAGTGGGGAGCCTGCTTCTCCCTCTGACCCTCTCCCCTCTCACGCTGTTTCTCTCTTGCTCACTCTCTAATAAATAAATAAATAAAATCTAAAAAAATAAAAAATAAAAAAATAAAATAAAATATACAGAGGACAGGAAAGAATATAATGAACAGTAGTGGGTCATCACCCAGATATCCCCTCTACCTCTCCACACTTCCTCCTCTCTCCTTTTTTGCCATGTTCCCATGCCCATCCCACCCTGTATACAGCATTCAGGTTTCTAAAGAAAGTGAGGCAGGTGCAGAGGTTGCCCAGCCGGACTATACATCTGTCCTACAGACAGACACTGTACAACACACGCACACACTGGGGATGATGATTAGGTGGCTGGCTGTGGACTTTCAGAAGGGGAGGCAAAGAATTATTACCCTCCAAGTAATCTGAATGTCCTTAGTTCCTTATTCTTGTAGTTTAGATATGTTCTGGACTGAAGCCATCCCAGCATTTTTGCCTTTTCAACTAGAATTTCTTTACCCTCAAATAATCTGTAAGCAGTGGAGTATGGGAAGCGAGCTTCTGCAACCTCCACCTCTAGATATACAATATGCTTTAAGTGAAAGACTCCCTTTCCTCTTGAGTTATCTTTCAGAATAGATTGAGCTACTTCCCATCTGGCCTCAGAGAAGGGGGAGAGGGGTCAGGGCTAATACCTGGGCATGACTACAAATAGCTTTCTTTTCTTTTTTCTTTTTTTTTAAATTGATTTATTTATTTTAGAGAGGGGGGGAGGAGCAGAGGGAGACGGAGAGAGAGAGAATCTCTAGCAGACTCCCTGCTGAGCAAGGAGCCCGACTCAGGACTCGATCCCACAACCCTGAGATCATGGCCTGAGCAGAAATCAAAAACTGGTCACTCAACCGACTGAGCCACCCAGGAGCCCCCAAATAGCTTTCTCAGCAATCTTTTGTCACCTCTTGTCTCCTTATTACTGTGTAAATCTTCCCATTAGAGGATTTTATATTGTCTTTAAAATAAATTCTTATTAATTCTTGGACATAGACTTCAATTTCTCAATTTTCCCTTGAACTTAAACACTCCAATGAGGGTTTCAAGTTACAGATTATCTTGAAGGAATTATTCTTAGTATAATTTGGAGTTCAGAAGATCATTAGGGAGACAAACAGGTACAAATGAAACAGCCTAAAGGTATTTTAAAAACATGTTCCTGTTCTCTTTTGGTAGGACTGGTAGAATTAAAACAAATGGAAATGGTATGATGTTTTTCTCACTTCTCCTGATTTGTTTTGGACCATGGGCTCTGTTCTGATTTAGGAGTCTTTCCTGCTCAGCATTTCAGTGATAATTCTCCCCATGGTCTATAGGATCCCTGTTCTCTTTGTTTCTATAGCAACAGTCCCGTGTTGCTTGGCTAGAAGCAATTTTCTGCTGCTGTGGTGAAGCCCCATTTTTTCATTCCTTTCTCCCCAGTTGCCTTGGTAACCAGCTTCTCCCTCTTTGGGTCTCTCAGTGGTAAATTCCACTCCCCTCTTTTTTTCTCTCTCTAGTAACAGTCACCTGGTCATGACTTGGACAATGCTTTCCCATCTGTGAGTGGGCATACTCTGTCATGGTCAGATTGTCATCATGAAATTAGCCTCCCTTTTGCTTTATTTGCATCATTTCTCCTGCCTGCCATCTTTCTAGTGGTTGTCATGGTAACCGTACCCTCCGAAAGTCTCCAGGCAAAGGCTCTACAGTTAACAACCATCATGTGAGAGTGTCTGCCAATATATGGCCACACATCGCGATTTTAAAACCAGCCCCAGGCGGGTACCACAAATTGGAGAGAACAGGTTTTTGATCAAAGCAGACTGGATTGAGAAAAGGAGGTACAGGGTACCCTGGGTTCTGATGTTCTCCAAACAATACAAGTGCCTACAAGGTTTAGGCTGGGTCTGCAAAGAGTGGCCATTATGCCAGCAGTGATCCAAGTGATTGAGAAATGTATTGGCAGTTATTCCAGGCAGGCCTATCGTATGCTCTAAACTTCCAGGGGTAATTCCTTGGGCCCAAGGGATCCGGGTGATATGACCTGAGAGCTAGGCAGAGCCAAGTAACCTCAGGGAGAAAGAAATTAACTCTTAAATTGTCTAACAAGGGGTTAGTAGAATATATATTTAGGTACTTTTACACAGTACTGAAAATTTCTCTGCTCTTAAGCTGCTGCTCTTAACTTTTTTTTTTTTAAGATTTTATTTATTTATTTGACAATGAGAGAGGGAACACAAGCAGGGGGAGTGGGAGAGGGAGAAGCAGGTTTCCCGCGGAGCAGGGAGCCCGATGCGGGGCTCGATATGGGGCTCGATGCGGGGCTCGATGCGGGGCTCGATGCGGGGCTCGATGCGGGGCTCGATCCCAGGACCCTGGGATCATGACATGAGCCGAAGGCAGATGCTTAACGACTGAGCCACCCAGGCGCCCCTGCTCTTAACTCTTTAGTGAGGCAGATGGGGTGTTACCATTATAATAATACAAAGCGTTAAACAAATGGTGGTTGTTTGTGCTAGGATATTGTAGCAGGTACTTTTTGGATATAACTTCAATTTATCCTTATGACAATCCTGAGAGGTATTTCATGATAAAACTGAGGCTAAGAGGTAAAGTTAATTGTGTGAGGTCAGGCAACAGCTAAGTAGCAGAGCTGGGATTTGAACCCAGGTCTCTCTGATTTCAAAGCCCTTTTTTCTTTCTTTCTTTCTTTTTTTTTTTTAGATTTTATTTTATTTATTTGAGACAGAGAGAGAGAGAGAGAGAACCTGAGTGGGGGGGAGAGGGGCAGAGGGAGAAGAAGAGTGAGAAGCAGACTCCCCACTGGGCAGGGAACCTGTTTGTGGGGTTCAATCCCAGGACCCCAGGATCATGACCTGAGTTAAAGGCAGACGCTTACCGACTGAGCCACCAAGGCACCCTAAAGCCCTTTCTTAAAGGTTGTGGGGTTTCCTGAATTTCGGTCATCTGGTCTGCACTTTAATCTGAGGGTTACTACTCCTTTATCCTTTCTGCCTTCCTTATTTTTCCTTCATATTTTGTGGGTTGTTTACTTGCTTTTCTCTGTTCTCAACCTATTTCTTGCATCCCTTCACCAAAGAGATGGAAAATTTTGTCCTGCTTTCTGATTGTGCCTGGGTTTCCGTTTTGGGATAAAAATGTTAGAGCAGTCGCCCTTGCCTGAGAACTGGGCAGATCTGATCATGGAGAACACCACACATTTAGCTCACTGTCTCCAGCACTAGATAGGCAAACCATTCTCCTCTCCATTTAACAATTATTGGGTGTCTGTTCTGTATCAGGCACTGTGCTAGGCACTGGAGACACAGCAATGACCTAGGCAGAATCTGTTCCTTGCTTTTATGGAACTAACAGCCTGGAATGGAAGTCAGGCAATACACAAGAAATCAGTATATATTTTTATATTGTAATTAGTGGTATGAAGAAAAGAACTGAGTGCCATGAAAGAAAGAATAACGGGGATAGACTTCAGATAGGACTGCCATCCCTCATTTAAGGGAGGAGATAGTTTTAAAAAATCGATCTCTTTAATAAATTGATTATCAGTTGTTAAAAAAACAAAAAGGAGAAAGGAGATCGTCGAGGCTCTGACACCAGCTAGTTGATGGCAGTCACGTCGGGAGCCTCTCAAGCTTGGAAACCATCGCTTCGCCCCTCCCCCCATCCTCCTCACGGAGCCCCAGGTATGCGCAGGCGCACCGACGGTTGCCATGGGGACAGCTGCTCCCGCGCAAGCGCAGATATCTTCAAAATGGCGGCGGCGGCGGCTGCACGAGCAGTTTTTGTGGGCTCCGGGCTCCGGGCCCTGCCACGAACACTGCCTCTTGTAGTGATTCTCGGGGCCACGGGCACTGGCAAATCCACCCTGGCGTTGCAGCTAGGCCAACGGCTCGGTGGCGAAATCGTCAGCGCTGACTCCATGCAGGTATGATAGTGCGGCTGGCCCCGGGCCTGCGAAACCCAGAGGCCGCCTGCGGGCCTCTGGCCGAGTGGATGCCCTGTCGCATGGTGGTAGTGATTGAACCCCGAGGCTTGTGGGGCGGAGTGGGTCGGTGAAGGGAACCCATAATTACTAGATGCCCACCATGTGCCAGACATAATGTCAGGCGATTGATTCCGTTTCCTCATCTCATTTACTTCTCACGACGTTGCTGTTGGTAGATACCATCTCCATTGACACTTGAGGGAATTCACCTAGGGAGACGAAACGGCTTTCTCCGTGTCACATAGCGAATAAGTGAAGGAGATGGCATTTGAACCTATAGGGTTGACAGGCGTCCAATAAATACCTGTTGAATGAAAATTATTGCAGAGCTTTTGCTATTTAGAGTCAGCGACACCGGTATAAATCGGTTACCATCTATGAGTAGCTCCCGAGGGAATGGAACAGGGTGGATATTCAGGAGACCTGCATTCTAGGTCCGAATCTGCCGTCGGCCACGTGAGCTTAATGTATCTGTAAAGTGGAAAAAATGCCACCTACCTCACAGGGCTGTAGTGCTTAATAAGTGAGAGCGTGAGTTTTAGAATGAAGAGCAGGGTCCTGGAGAAGGCCAGGGCCAGGCACCTGGTAAATGTTATGTTTAAGTTGAGATTTTTAACTCCCTACTGGCTGATGGGAGTCAGGAGGCTTTGTCCTCTTCCTTGAGTTAGAGGGAAGCCGAGGAGTGTAATACACCTGGCACCTGGGTGCATTTGGGCTCGGGTTGAGAGTGGGTGACATTTTGGGTAAATCTGTGATGGAGGAATTATAAACACTATTTATTGAAGATAATTTTCAGTTAATGAGTTTTTACAGAGTAAATGAGTTTTTACAGAGTAAATGAGGCACTGAGTCTGGCACCTACCTGATGGGTACTCAGCAAGGAAGAGCATTCCTTCTCACCGTTGCACCCCATAAATCTCTGGGCATGGTTTCTACCTTTATTAGTTCATTTGGAGTGACATGACCATCAACACACATGAAATGATTAGGATAATTCAACAAATGTTGGTTTGCAACCTCTATTTTGTGTCAGCTTCGAGAGACAGACTTTACCTCAAATCCCAGCCCTGTCTTTTCTAAGATGTGTGACTTCAGCCTGACCTCTTTGTGCCTTTGTTTCTTCTGTAAAACAGGAAGAAGAATATCAATAACACAACATAATTGTGATGATTGATGTGATAAAGTATGTAAAGCACTTAATACAATGTATGGTGCATAGTGCTAAAAATATGATGGGTGCTATTTTCTGCAAGGCCCTTTTGGAGAGAGAACATCATAATCCCTGTCCTCAGGGAGTTTTAGTCCAGCTAAACATGAAATAAAGCAGTTAGAAAGTGTTTGAACTGTAATATTAATGATGCTCTTTGCAAGGTGGATGGGGTAGGGAGGAGAGAAACTACAAGTGTTAGATTTTATACTAAACCATACAATTTCTGAAAAGGGAGAAATCAATGAAGACTGGTATAGTCATGGAAAGCTCTCTGAAAAGGGACTTGAAAGGTGAAGTTTGGATAGATAAGAAAGAAGAAAAGGTATGTCAAAGAAGGAACGTGAATCAAGGTTTAGAAGGTGAACTGAGCATAGTGTTATGTAGGACAATGAAAGGAGGATGTTCATTAGGTATTGTAGATATTGTGGATGGAATGGGGAATGAGTAACATGATGAAGGCAGTGTGTAAGAAGCATTCATTTGTGAACAGTATGCATGATGAATTGGATTTGGGGGTGGGTGTTAGGAATGCAGGGGAAAGGAAAGATGTAACTTTTTTTTTTTTAAAGATATATTTATTTGAGAGAGAGAGCGTGCTTGAGTGAGCCAGGGGAGGGATAGAGGGAGAGGGAGAGAATCTCAAGCAGATTCCTTTCTGAGTGCAGAGCTCACCATGGGGCTTGATCCCGGGACCCTGAGATAATGATCTGAGATGAAATCAAGAGTTGGACGCTTAACTGACTGAGCTTACTCAGGCGCCCCAAGATGTAACGTTTTTGAAGGTATTATCATGTTAAAGTGAGTTGGTCACTGATTGCTCAAAGAAGAAGAATGCACATAATATGACTCAGGATTCAGGTTTGTATGCCTGGGAGAGTATGGTGAGCCTGAAGTCAGGAAGATTTGGCAGGGCACAGGGGGAGTAGCAACAGGACATCCAAGGGGAAAGTCTATGGATGGGTGGAGAGTGCAGCAGGTATGACCCCACTTCAGGACTCTTGTACTTATTAGCCTCTGCCTGGTGGCACTTCTTCCTCTATTTAACCGTGTGGCTTGCTTTCTCTCTACATTCACGTCTTTACTAAGATGTCACCTTACTGAAGCCTTCTCTGATCATCCCATTTAAAATAACACACCACTGGTTCCCTGTTCCCCATCTTTCTCATATAGTAAACATTAGTCTTTGTCAGGGGAATGTTCCCAGTAAATCATCTTAATTTTACATCTGTTTGTTTGTTTGTTTGTTTTTAGATTTTATTTATTTATTTATTTGAGAGAGAGTGCACCATCATGAGTGGGGGGAGGGGCAAAGGGAGAGGGCGAAGCAGACTCCCACTGAGCAGAAGGCCTGACATGGGGCCCCATCCCAGGACCCTGGGATCATGACCTGAGCCGAAGGGAGATGCTTAATTGACTGAGACACCCAGGCGCCCCAATTTTACATCTATTTTTAAGTAAGTTAGTGGGTTCTGGCCATGAGTGTTGTATATAGCTCTGTAATAGCTATTATCCATTTCTCAGAAGTGTTTTTTTTTTTTTTAAGATTTTATTTATTTTTTTGACAGAGAGAGACATAGCGAGAGCAGGAACACAAGCAGGGGGAGCGGAAGAGGGAGAAGCAGGCTTCCCTGCCGAGCAGGGAGCCCGATGTGGGACTTGATCCCAGGACTCTGGGATCATGACCTGAGCCGAAGGCAGACGCTTAACGACTGGGCCACCCAGGCGCCCTCTCAGAAGTGTTTCTTTACTCATAGCTGTGTACCATAAGGTTGAGGTTGCCAGAGGTCTTGTTGGGTGTAAAATAGATCATGTCAGTGTGCCTCATATAGTGCTGATGATATGGTAGACCTTAGTATTTGATGAAGTATTTGTTGACTTGCCTTATTAAAACAGCACATCTTTTTTTAAAATTTTATTTTATTATGTTAGTCATCATACATTACATCATTAGTTTTTGATGTAGTGTTCCATGATCATTGTTTGTGTATAACACCCAGTGCTCCATGCAATATGTGCTCTCCTTAATACCCATCACCGGCCACCCCCCCTCCCCTCTAAAACCCTCAGTTTGTTTCTCAGAGTCCATAATCTCTCATGGTTCGTCCTCCCCTCTGATTTTCCCCCCTTCATTTTTCCCTTCCTACTATCTTTTTTTTTTTTTAACGTAAAATATATTTGTTTCAGAGGTACAGGTCTGTGATTCGTCAGTGTTAGACAATTCACAGCGCTCGCCATAGCACATACCCTCCCCAATGTCTATCACCCAGCCACCCCATCCCTCCCACACCCCACCACTCCAGCAACCCTCAGTTTGTTTCCTGAGATTAAGAGTCTCTTATGTTTGTCTCCCTCTCTGGTTTCATCTTGTTTCATTTTTTCCTCCCTTCCCGTATGCTCTTCTGTCTTGTTTCTTAAATTCCTCATATCAGTGAGATCATATGATACTTGTCTTTCTCTGATTGACTTATTTCACTTAGCATAATACCTTGTAGTTCCATCCACATCGTTGCAAATGGCAAGATTTCGTGTTTTTTGTTTGTTTTTTTTGTTTTTTGATGGCTGCATAATATTCCATTGTATATATACACCACATCTTCTTTATCCATTCATCTGTTGTTGGACATCTTGGCTCTTTCCATAGTTTGGCTACTGTGGGCATTGCTGCTATAAACATTGGGGTGCACATACCCCTTCGGATCACTACATTTGTATCTTTGGGGTAAATACCCAGTAATGCAATTGCTGGGCCATAGGGTAGCTCTATTTTCAACCTTTTGAGGAACCTCCATACTGTTTTCCAGAGTGGCTGCACCAGCTTGCACTCCCACCAACAGTGTAGGAGGGTTCCCCTTTCAGAAACCGCATCCTTGCCAACATCTGTTGTTTCCTGATTTGCTAATTTTAGCCATTCTCATTGGTGTGAGGTGGTATCTCCTTGAGGTTTTGATTTGTATTTCCCTGATGCCAAGTGATGTTGAACACTTTTTCATGTGTCTTAAAACGGCACATCTTGATCCATTCAGATTTTTCCTGTGGTTATATAAGTAACTAGGATATGAGACTTAAATTTCTTTCATCCTAGGGATGCCATGAGTGTTAATTAATGTATGAAAACACTTGAAGATTATTGAGCTTTCTGAACTGGCTGTAGGTTGTGTTTAGTTTTGATTATATCATGGATATTTGTAACATTTCCTCTTGGTCCCCATTGGAAGACTTTGACCTTTGATTTTACTTTTCAGTCCAAATAATGATATAAAGTATCTCTGCCCCATTTACGTGGCTATACACAGTTCTTCATTTCTGCCTTTGCTTACATGCCCCTGTTACCTGTTCCCCTTGTTTTCTACCCAGTGGAGGGAGATGGTACTTTTCAATGACTTGATGTTGACTCAAAATTTTTGGTAAGCATGTGAACAAAATGACATTTAAAAAAAGAATTGAAGTATAGTTGATACACATGTCACATTAGTTTCAGGTGTACAAAATGACATTCTTAAAAAAAAATGGCATTCTTAATGTTGGATTACCAGCTCCTTGAAAGAACATTTTCAATTTCAAATAAGTACACAGGCAGAATGATAGTAACTTAAATTTGTATAGCAAATTTTATAAAATACTTACAGATGCTTTTTATTCTCGCTATAACCTTGTAAGGTAGATATTGTCATTTCACAGGTCAAGGAAACAGGCTTTGCAGTAAGGTCTTAACAGTAAGTAACAAACCTGG